ATAAATAAATAAATAAATAAATAAATAAATAAATAAAATCTAAAAAAAAGATGATATGCAGGCTTTTGAAATACTAAAGTGATGATTAACTTTTATATTTCATTTTGTATAGGACATCCGAGCTTTTGACTCTCGTTTCTCCAGTATCAAAACATTGGGTGATTTGTTTCCTCTGAGAAGTATGGTCTTTATGCTGGGAACTCCTTATTATGGCTGCACTGGAGAAGTTAGTTTCAATTTTGTTATTAACTAACTTTTTATTAATACAGTTATTCATCTTAAATATAAAATAAAATGTAATGCTAAAGTGGAAACATAAGAAAGAATTCATTTGCGTAACTTAAGAACAAAGTTTTGAGCTATAGTGATAAGCAGGTGATCAGGAGGTAGGAAAAAGAATTCAAAATCTGGTGGTTTTGGTTTTTGGTTTTCTGGGAGGGTTTCTCTGTGTAGCCCGGGTTGTCCTGGAACTCACTGTGTAGACAAGGTTGGCCTCGATCTCATTGATTCATCTGCCTCTGCCTCTGCCTCATACTAAGATTAAAGGTGTACAACACCACCACCTGGTTTTTGTTTTAAATATATTTGTAATAAGTTATGTCTGAAGCAATCATAAAATTATTTTAAATAGATTTTATGTACACGGTTAATGGATTTTTTAATGTATTGATGTGTTTAATAATTTTACTTCTCGAACAGAAAAAAGTACATACAGAAATGGAATAAGAGAAAATAAGAGTCTTTGGGGGACAGATTAGTGGTACTGTTAGGAATTCTGAAGCATATGTGCCTATGCTTGTGTGTGTACATCCATATTTTTCTAGCTATAGTTTTCAAGAGTAAGACACTTTGGTAGCAGTAGACACACATAATAGTCAGATCTTGACCTCTACGACCATAACAATTCACTAAAACAACAGTCTTTCTCACTAAATTATCTGATTCTAGGTCTTGAGCAGGTAAGATACAAAATGTTTCTGATACATCAGATGCCAAAAAGCAAAAGTTCTCAAAAGAATGAGAGATCCATGCCAGTCAGCACAGGAACAAGGTGGAAGGTGGTCAGCTCTTAATAGTTTGAGTGGCAGAATAATTAATTACAGTAACAGATTTAAAGTAATTGAGGAAAATGAGGAATTCATCATTGCATGCTAATAGTAAAAAAGATAAAACAAGAAAAACTTTATTGTGGACGTAGGTCAGTAGTGAGTTTAGTGCCTATCTAGCATGCACCGGTCCCTAGGTTTGATACCTAGACCACAAACATAAAAGTAAGTATAGCGAGGATGCTGGTGTTGGAAAACCATTTTGCAAATGCAGTGATTGAATTGGGGAAGAATGAGTCAAACTGGGCAAATCTTATGTGAAGCAGATTTTTCATGGTCTTAAGACTGTCTTTTCACAGACTGTTGATTAGTTACAAGGAAAATAAAAACTATAATTGTACAATGGGAGAAATTGAAGAGCATATTGACAATGTGATCAGTTAGTAACAGTTAGAAAGTGATTGATACTGAATAAATCCAGATATGATGCCCTAACACAGACACATCACATAGAGGCTATCCTGGCAGCAGATAATGTCTAACTGTAGTTGGGTTTTTGTTTGTTTTGGATTTTTTTTTTTTACTCTTTTGGGAGCCTGCCACCAAGCTCCCAAATAAATGCACATTCTTACTTATGAATACCCAGCCTTAGCCTGGGTTTTTTTCTAGCTAGCTTTTCTAACTTAAATTATCTTTGACTACATTTTTGCCTTAGGGCTTTTACCTTTCTTTATTCTATTTATATCTCTCTTTCCTACTCTGTGGCTGGCTGTATGGCTGGGTAGCTGGCCCCTGACACCCTCCTCTCCTTCTTTTCTTGCTTCTCCCTCTTCTCTCTTCTCTCCTATTTATCCTTTTGTCCTGGCAGCCCTGCATATCCCCCTCCTGCCTAGCTATTGGCTGTTCAACTCTTTATTAGACCAGTCAGGTATTGTAGACAGGCAAAGTAACACAGCTTCACAGAGTTAAACAAATGCAACATAAAAGAATGTAATACATCATTGCATCATTAAACAAATAGTCCACAGTATAAACAAATGGAACACATCTTAAACTAATATTCCACAACATATAACTTCATTGCAAAAAGTAAAATAAGGAACTTTAATTTGAATAGTGCTGCATCTCAGTGGTAGAGTGCTTGCCTGACATACTAGGTTCCATCTCCAGTATTACACAAAGAGAAAGGCAAAATGAAAAGTGAAGAACAAATTGCATTCTTCTGAATACTTAACATTTTGAAAGTACTCACCAAACAATGATCTGAATATAATCTAGATTGAAGGATGCTAAAAATTCAACTAGGGACTAGGAACATAGCTTAATAGTGGACATGTGGGTGCCTTCATCTTGACATTGGGGAGGCTGGGGCAAGAGGATGAGTTTGAAGCCTGCCTGGACTGCATATCATTAACTGCTTCAATAACAAGAAGATAGACAACTAAGTTCAATATCTTATGCTAGCTTGGAGAGGGAGGAAATAATTCTGCATAGAACATTATTGGGTCCATTGATAAATTGGAATATGAAGAATGGCTGAGACTAAAGTATCAATGTAAATTTACCTGCCTAAGAATGATACTGTTGTTTTATAATAAACTATTCTTAATGATATACACTAAAATACTCATAGCTTAAGGACACAATGTCTATAAGGTATCATCAAAGCATTGAGAGGACCTGGGGTTTTTAGTTCATGCTTGTAATCCCAGCACTCAGAGGGCTGAAGCAGGATCACTAAGTTTGAGGCCAGCCTAGACATCACAATGAGTTCAGAGCTAACTTGTAAATACAGACTGAAACCCTGTTCCAAAATACTAGTAGTAGAAGTAGTTGTTGTAGTAGTAGTATTTGTATGCATGTACATATATATGCACATTGTATACAAATGTTAAAGACATATTCTTTATAGTAGTAACAATGCATGAATCTATGTCAATGTTTTCAGACATTATTTGCAACATTTTGGTAATTTGAAGTTATCTGCAAGTAAGTTTTTTTTATATGTGACTAAAACTATTAACGCAAATATAAAATGACTCACTCTTGTGATATTTTAAAATCCTATTACAAATTACAAGAAACTTTCCACTGTCTGATTTTATGACAATAAAATTCTATTTTAGAAGATTATCATTCAAATGAGGGGGGGGGAAGGAATGAATGTAATGAAAGATTAAAACAGTGTGATTGTTCTACCCCCAGGTTCAGGATTCAGGTGATGTGATCACAGAAGGTAGGATTCGTGTGGTTTTCAGCATTCCATGTGAACCAAATCTTGATGCTTTGATACAGAACCAACATGTAAGTACAATAGTTGGTATTGCTTAGAATAAACTTTTTTAATGCTAAGGTATTTTTTCTGCCTCCTTAAAATTAATTTCAATATTTAATTTAAGAATAAGAGGCTAGAGAGAGAGAGTTCTGTCAGTAAAGTATTTTTAGTGAAGCACTAGGGCCCTAGTTCATATCTGCAATACCCAGGGCTAAAAACTGGGCTTACTGGGCTGGAGAGAGGGCTCAACACTTAAGACCACTACTGACTGCTCATCCAGAGGACCTGGGTTCAGTTCCCAGCACCCACATGGTGGCTCACAACTGTCTATAGCTCCAGTTCCAGGGGTCCCGACACCCCCACAAAGACATACATGCAGGCAAAATACCAATACACATAAAATAAAAGTAAATAATTAAAAAAAAAAAACTGAGCTAATGGTGCATGCTGTTCTGCCATTGCTGGAAGACAGGTCTCTGGGGCTAGCTTTCCAGCCAGTTGAGCCTGATTGATGAATGGCAGGCTTAGAGATCCTGTTTCACAAAAGAAAATCTCAAGTACATGGCATCTGAGGAATGACACCAAGGTCATCTTCCACACATGTGCTGTGACATGCATGCCCACTCATAAACAAACACACACTGAAATATAAGGGAAAAGTATGAATCTATTCCCCAAAATTCATGTATACCTATTCATATAAATCTACCATAACATATTAAGTACCCAGGTTTAATCCCTAGCATTGAATATATATATATTGAATATTGAATATATATATATAGAGAGAGAGAGAGAGAGAATATATATATTGAATATTGAATATATACATATTCAATGCTAGGGATTAAAATATATATATGAAAATCTTCAGCAACAAAAAATTGCAGAAATTACATTATTACTTGGTGTTTATTTTGTATTGTGATGTGGCTTAAGGAATAAAGGATCAGCATACCCATGAGGGAACTTTAGATAAAGAAGGCAGAGGTGTCCCTAAAAATCTTACCATCGGCTCTCTACTGTAGAAAGAGTTTAGACGTTATGGTCAGGTATGAAAGTGTCTCACTAGATGAAGAAGCTGGAACACCTCTATAAAAGAGAGCACATAAGGTGTTTCTATACTCTCACTTTCTTTGCCCCAGTATTTTAGCTTTGCTTTTTATGTTGACTAGGGTACTACAGCACAGCTCAGAATTCTCAAATGCAGTGCCATTAGTGCTTGGAACAGTACACTTGTATCTATGGCAGCTTTGTAAATAGGACATTTTGTCCCTGGGCTCTCAATGCTAGTAACCTGTGCCAGTTATTATAAATGAGTGTTCCTCTACACATTTCAAAATGCTTATTAATAAGGTGATACTTCTTATAATTAAGAAATACCACCTTAATTATTTTGATCTATTTTACAAAGCATACTTGTTCTATATTTTCTTATTACTAAATCTTACGATATTCTTGTTGAACAACCATGTTCTGTGTCTATATGAGTGTTTAGACAACTTTTTATGTAGCCCAGGCTGGCCTTAAACTCACTGAGCAGCCAAAGATAATCTTGAACTCCTTATCATTCTGCCATTGCTGCAGGGTTATGCACATGTACACATTTGGCTAATAATATATTCATATATTTTAATAGTAATTTGATATTCCAGCCCACCAAAGACAGTTAACCTATTTAGACATCATTGTAGATACATATGATCAATATAATAATGGTGGCTGATTTAATCCCTTACTAACCCCAAGAAATTGATTTTATGTTAATGAAAATATCCCATATTCATCTATGAGCCTAAAGTAAGAATATAAACTAGGGGGCTGATGATGTCGCTCATTGGGGTAGAGTGCTTGCTTAACCTTCATGAGGCTCCCTGGGTTCTGTCACCAGTACTGCATGAACCAGTTTAGTGGTCCAAGCCTGTAATTCCAGCACTTAGGAGGAGGAGGCAAGAGAATCAGAAGTTCAAGATTATCCTCAAGCACATAGCAAGTTCAAGGCCAACCTGAACTACATAAAATGGCCTCTCTCTCTTCTCTCTCTCTCACACACACACACACTTAACCTGTAACTCATACACTTACAAATTATTAGACTATGAATAAAAAGTAGTGTCTTTATGCATCACATAAGGAGTGGATATGATTGTTAGTGCTAGTTGGTATTGGATTTGCAAATTATTTCCTTCCTAGTTAAAAATGATACTTCTTTTTTTTGTCTTTTCTTCTTTTGTCCTGTCACTTAATATATTTTATTTTTCTAATTGAAAATAGACTTTTTCATAAATATATTCTAATCACAGTTTCCCCTTTTTCTCAATTTTTATTTGACTGTGACTTTCATATAATAGTAAAAATTAATGGAAAAGATTACTTACATTCATATATGAAGGAGACTTTTTACTTCCCTCACTTGCAACTGTTTGGATGATATACTTATGCTTGACTTCAGCACAGTAATTTTTGAAGCCTTGTTTTATTCCATGTACTTGTTAGCTAGCCCTGCTTAAAATATGAAAATTAGTTTTAAAAAATGTTGTGTGAAGAATTTTCTGTAGTACTTGCGGAATTTATTTATTGAGACAGATTTACAAACTGTGCTTCCTACTCCTTGATTTATCCTTGAAAAGACTGTTTTAAAGAGAAAGAGAGACGCTTTCAGACCCCTCAGGGGTGGGGGCAACCAAGTGATCATGTATGTTCATGTTGCCAAAATCCAGTGGTCAGTAGTGTATTAATTACCTACAGATCTCAAAGGTAATCAGCTAGTACTTAATGTAAACATGTGTTTCCATAATTGATCTCTTTATTTTTATATTTAAAGAAATACTCTATAAAGTACAACCCGGGATATGTGTTGGCCGGTCGCCTTGGAGTGAGTGGATACCTTGTTTCAAGGTTTACAGGAAGTATTTTTATTGGAAGAGGATCTAGGAGAAAGTAAGTTTGTGTTAGGGATATTTGCTTAAAATGGCAGAAAAATTAAATGATAGAGATTAAATGCTTACTATCTCGGTATTAATTTTCTCAAATTAGTGACTGAGGACTAAGTTGCCCATAAATTCCTCCATTGGTGCTACTTTACATGAACAGCAAATGTTTTAGATGCTTTCAAAGACAGTTTGTATTTTTAGCAGCTAACCTTGAAAAAAGGTATCAGAGGGTGTGTGTGAGCCTCAGTAATATATTTCTGTGAATTCTGTTTTCCTTTTTTCTAATCATGTAATTTATATGCTTGGATCTTAAAACCTGTCCTGTAGTTTTTTTAATTACTGCTAGTTAGTAGTAACCATGCAAACTAAAGTGTAGAACAATCAGAACTGAGCTTTCTAAAAGTTGAAAATACCTGTTGGGGTTGGTGATGTAGCTAAGTGATGTACTGCTCGTCTGGCAAGCACAGGACTTTGGATTCAGTCTCTAGCGCTGTTAAAAAGAAAAAAAAGAAAAAAAAAAAGAACTTTTTATTTTGAACAAATTTTAAAACACTTGTGTGTATATGTGGTTTAAACTTAGCCCTCATGGAGACCATAAAGCAAATGTGGGTTTAAATCTCAAATTCAACAAGAAGAATGAGGAAGTCCCTGGATACACAAAGAAAGTTGGGAGTGAGTGGATGTACTCCTCGGCAGCGGAGCAGCTTCTGGCAGAGTACATAGAAAGGTGAGCACCCAGTGAGGCAGCTTCTCCCCAGCCTCTCAGCTCAGCAGGCACTGCTTATTCTGCCTGGCTCAGACCCATTAGGAAAGGGAGATTGTGTCCTTCAGTAAAACACACAGCAACATTTAGGCATGGTGACATACACCTCTAACCCCAGCACAAGGGAAGTAAAGGTAGAAGGGTCACAATTTGGAGACCATTATTACCTAGGTAGTACATTTAAGATCAGCCTGGGCTATGTTAGATCCTGTTTCAAAAAAAAAAAAAAAAAAAAAAAGTGCAACAACATATTTGCATTAATAATTCCATAGGAAATGTGTTAACATTTTTACTAATAAATATTAACTGAGTTACTTAGAAGGAATTATAGTTAATATGTTCACTTCTGATTTGCAATTTAAGGTTCTTTCTACTATTGCACAGGTTTCTATCCTCTTTGTCATTGAGTATCCCTGTGTTGGTTTCACAGAGGTCTCATAGTAAAGTACCACAAACTAGCTGGTTTCCCCAAGGTGAACTAATTAGCTCACAGTTCTGGTAACCAGAATCAGCATGTCAACAGGGTTATAGTCCCCTAGCTCTCTCACTTTCCTGTAATTTTATGTGTTTCTTGTCTTGTAGATTGATAATTCCAATTCTCTATCTTCAAGTGACAGTGTCTTTGCCTAAGTTTTCCCGGGTCTGTCTTCATTTCTTCTCTTTGTAGTAGTACCAGTCATTGAGCTAGGGCCCTCGCTGATAGTTGTTTCTTTTAGAACCCCATTTCCAAATAAAGTCTTATTCTATATCTATCTTAAATCTAATTTTGTTAGTCTAAGGACATAAGTTTACTATTGCATGTGTGATGTGTGCATGTGCAAGAGAGTGCCCATACCCATACTTGGGGGGGGTGTGCCCCACCATGCAGGGGGGACAGTCTGAAGACAGCCTTGTTGAGGGAGTTTCCACCTTCCTTTACATGGTTCCAAGAATTTAACTGATGTTGCCAAGCTTACATCTTCAGGAAGCAAATACCTTTATACTGAGCCATCTCCCTGGCTCAACGTTCTGTATCTTTTGAAGAAAACAGGGGTACCATTCAGTTCCATATTTTCACATGAAAATTTAGCTTGTTTCTGTACTCATTTCCATATTTCCTTAAAAGGTTGTGTTCAGACTTCTTTTTCTTGACTTTGAGATTTAGGAACTCCTGCCTAGCATGTTTAAGGCTCTGGGTTTTGTCTGCAATAATAAAAAAAGCAAAGTTTTTATTTTTATAGTTGTCACATATCCATTGATTTCCAACTGTGAAAGAGTTCTCTGTGAGTTGCAGCTCTTCCTCATTCTCTCAGACATGAACATATTTCATACAGTTTTTATTACAATTTTGGATTAAATTTATAAGGTTTACATGATTATAATAAATATTCACAGCTTGACCTATAATGTATTAATGATTACATTTTCTTCCCTGTCCACATTTTTATTTTCACATTTTTTTCATCAGATTATTATTTACACACATATATATTAACTAAGCTGAGAATTCTGCCAAACAGATTAGGGGTTCTCTTAGTTCCATCTCTATCCTAAAGCTTTGGTCTCTATGTCAACTTAAACTGGTGGCTCTAAACGTATCACTTAGCTCTCAGTCCAAAGACACTGTCTCTATGTCCCCATTGAAAATTCTTTCATTTTCTGGTTCCCATCCCTTGATCTTTATAGCTCCCATGTTGATGGTACATTTAACCCCAATAGCCTTTAGGGGTGGCGGCTTTGTTTCTGCAAATACTTTTTTTCTTTCTCCTGCACTTAATTGTAGCTTGTCGAGGTAGAAAGTCATAGATGGCAAATTATTTCCACTCTGGGTTTTGAAAGCACTGCTCCATTCTTTTCTTTTCTCCTTTATTGCCTTTCATAAATCCTGTGAGTCCTGGTCTGAATCTTTGTGTTATGATCTATCTGCTTTTTCTAAGATACTATTGTTGCATATTATTTTGTGTTTGAGAGTGTCTTGTCTACATGTAGGGTCAGAAGAGGACATCATATCCCCTGGAACTAGAATTACAGGTGGCTGTGAGTCGCCATTTGGGTGCTGGAAACTGAACCCTGGTCCTCTATAATAACAGCCAGTGCTCTTAACCTGTAAGCCATCTCCATCCCTTGGTGTCCTGTTTCCATTTTCTGGGCTCTTTCTACCTGTCAATTCTGTTGACTGTGGTGATGATTCACACATCACATTACATTCTGGGAGACTGCCTTATAATATTTCTTTAATAATTGATAAAATCAACCTTTTTTTCTGTTCTTTCTCTGTGGGACTCCTAGATTGATCCTTTTGTCTCTTTGTTGTCTTCTCCTCCTTTTCCATATTGTCTTACTCTAGGAGACATCCTCAATTTTATCTTGTTTGGGGGTTTGTTTGTTTTTTTTTGGTTAGTTAGTTGGTTTTGGTTTCTTTTTTATTTTATTTTTATTTTTAAGGACAAGGTCTCCCACTATGGCACCCTCCTGCCAGGCTGGCCTCAACCTCAAAAAGAGTACAGACTAGACTGAAACTTGTAGTCCTTCTGCCTCAGCCTCTTGAGTGCTGGCATTATAGGCATGTATCAACAATCATTCATTTTTTAATGTGTCTGCATGTTTGTGTGTGCCTGCAGAGGCAAGAAGAAAGCAATCAGATCCCCTGGAACTGGATTTAGAAGCAGTTGTGAGCCACTGAAAAGTCTTCTTTTTATTTCCATTTTCTCCAAATTATTTTTTCTCCTCTATTTGATTTATTGCACCTTTTATGTTAGAGATTTTTTTCTCTGCTTTCTAGTGTTTCTTGGTGTGTCTGTATTTAACAAGGATGTACAAAAAGCCTATTGGGAATTTAGTGCACTTGGGTGGGGCTTTCACATGGGACATTACTATTTCTAAAACAGATCTTCTGATACCATTACCCTGTATACATATCTTCTAACTGATTAGTTTTTCCTAGAGAGGTATCTTCTAGCCTTTTCCTTGCATAATGGATGTAAGGAACAAATCTGACTGCTAGTATTCTGGAAATTAGCCAAGTAAAATGGGTTTTGTTGCCCCATGGATTCTGTGATTACTTCCCACCCACCCAGATCTTTCTTAGATTGAAGAATCTTTTCCCCTGGTAGAGGCAATGCTGCTAGCAGCCCTCTGCCTGCAAACTCTCTTCTGGAGTTTTGTAGATAAAGAGAACTACCTCATCTAGAGTCACGTTCCCTTTCCACAACATAATGCCTGGTGTAGGATATATAAAAGCTAAAGCAACCTGCCTGCCCCATCTAGGACTAATGTGAAGGGCTAATCCAGTTTGAGATCTTTGTGGGACTGGCCAGGAAATCCACTGAGAACAACTCACAGCGCAACATCTTCCTGTCTCCATTGCCCAGTTCTGCTTGTTTTCTTTTCCCTTCCTACAAGTATTGATTTCATAAGTCTCCCCACTAAATTTTTGCATGTCTGTCTCCTTCTCAGAGTCTGCTTCCTAGAGATGTGATGCTCCTGACTTGCTGTATGGTATCTACGTGTGCATGAATTCCACTACAGCACAGCACCTGTCCTCTGCCCCTTGCACCATCCCTACCCACTACAGCTCTCTGTCTCTGCTATAACCAAAGCTAGGGTGTTTCTTGGCTGACCTGTCTAAAATATAGCTGTAGGTACTAATGCAGGGCTATTCCAACTGCTTGCTATATACATTTTCAATGTAAATGCTATTAAATATGCCTGAAGCCCATAATTCATGAGTGTTTACAGATTCAAAAAAAAAAAACTTAGACTTGTTTACCTATTTTTTTTTTAGTTGTGTAAGTTTATTGTGCATAGCTAAAGAGCAGTCCACAAGTGAAAGACTGAACTGAGAATAAGAAACTCAAATTTAGTACAGCTCATGAATCCCTAGGCAAAAGTGTTGTAACTTTTTTGTGATTGGCAGCCTCTCTTTCATCCAGTGACTTGCCCTGTTTGTTTATGCTTCTTATTCCTATCTATCAATTCAGCTGAATCTCATCAGTCCCGTGTCTAACTTCTAAAAGTTTGTTCCTCAATGGTAGGACATTACATATCCCATTTTTTTAATTTCTCTTTTTTTGGTCTATGTCCAGTTTTCTACTTTATTGTTATTTTAATGAATTGGGGAAGGACCAAAGATGTGTTTACTCTGCTTGGATGCTTGTAATTTTGAAGAATATCAGAAGAAATTTATAAACTTTTAATTTTCTTCTTTATGAAATGTTCCAGCTTTGTTACAAAAATTAGAAAATTAACTTTTAAAAACTATATATTGTTGTAGCACAGTCCTAGCATTGAGGAAGCTGGAACAAGAAGTTACCCTGGGTTACATAGGAATCCTGTCTTTAAAAAGGGGGAAAAAATAAAGAAATCACAAATACTTTTTCCATTCATCTAATCCCTCATGTTTTAATCAAAGAAGAAACAGAGTCATAATTGGATTTTTTAGTAATTGAACCATTTCTCTGTCAGCCAATAGGAATTTTCTTGGAGCTGTAGGAATACTCTATCAAACCTTTCAGTCTCATTCCTCATTAATACTACCCTTTAATAATACTATAATAATCCTCAGTTATTCCACCTGTCCCCATTAAAATCCAAAAACCACTTAATGGGAAGTTTACATGAAGATAATTGCATATTTTAAAGCAATATTTTCTTTGTTGACTAGAGCGCCAGAACTGTTTAGTTATATAGCCAAAAACAGCCAAGAGGATGTGTTCTATGAAGATGACATCTGGCCCGGAGAAAATGAGAATGGGTAAGCAAGATTTGTGGTACTTATACTGCCCCGTAGTTCAATTACAGGTTTCCATTTGGAAGTTCAGCTAACGTTACCTTTTTTTTTTTTTATTTTGCTTCATTTTTGCTTTAAATTTCTTAAATCTGATAATTTACAGTTCCCAGAAAGTTTTTAGCAGATCCTTAGTATAAACCCTCAAAAAGTTTTAATCAGTGTGAAAAAATTACTACTGTTTTTATTGCAGTGCTGAGAAAGTTCAAGAAATTATTACTTGGCTGAAAGGACATCCTGTGAGCACACTGTCCCGTTCTTCTTGTGATTTACACATTCTGGATGCAGCCATTGTTGAAAAAATAGAGGAAGAAGTTGAGAAGTGCAAGGTACTAACTTTCAGTAACCATGGTTACTGATGAGAGCTGAAGTTAAAATGGACAGCATATTATCGTTTGTCTGTGTTTCCATCAACTAGTGTATGTACTTAATGATTCTCATTAATACTGAATAATCCTGTAGCATTTCCAGCAACTGTTAGGAAATTTAAACCAGTAAGTGTAAATATACTTCAGTGTGCTAAAACTATAAACTTTAAAATTTGTTTCTTTGTAATATTTCTAATTTTATAATTCTAGTCACAATAGAAAGTTTGTGGATGAGAAATAATGATGATTTCCTCTGGTTTACTATTGCAATTACACTCTCTGAAGACAATTCGGCGCTAGTGAGGTGGCTCAGTGGATAAAGGTGCCTGATGCCATGAAGTCAGTCCCTGGGTGCACGGTGGAAGGAGAGAACCAGCTCCCCAAACTTGCCCTCTGACCTCCACTCCACACTTTGTGCACGGTACATGCACTCACCCAGGCACATGCACACACAGACACACACACACACACACACACTGATATCTTGTTTTTCTACTCTGCTGTTTCAAAGCAACCAACTTAACACAGTTGACATAACCTATTTTATCCTTTTTTAAATAAATGGTACAATAGAAGTGGATTGTTATATTGATATTTTTTAACATTAATTTCTCCTAATTTGCCTTTTTATTAATGATGCCTTAATAACACACTTTCTTTTTTAAATTAGTAACAAAATCAGTTAAGACTTGGGCTCAAGAGCCATTCCTGACCCCTTGAACTCAAGATTCTTTTTCAATATTTTAATTTTTTCATGCCTCCATTTCATCCTTGGCAAATCAGTAATAAAATAATGCCTACCTCATAAACTATGATCATCAGTAAGACCAGCTGGGATAGAACATGTTCTTCTCAGGACAGAAAATGTGGTTCAGTTGACAGAGAGTCTTCCTAGAATACACAAAGCCCAGATCTTATCCCAGCACCACATCAAGCCAAGTATGGTGGTGTATGCCCATAACCTCAGCACTCTAGAAGTAAAGGAAAGAGAGCCAGAGTGAGTTCCAGGACAACTGGGGCTACACAAAGAAAGTCTTATGAAAAACAAACAGATTATCCTATATGTGCTGGTGGTAGTGGCACACACACCTTTAATCCCAGCACTCAGGAGACAGATCTCTGACTCAAGGCCAGTCTGATCTACAGAGTGAGTTCCAGGACAGCCAGGGCTACACAGGTAAATTTAAAAAAAAAAAAAAAATATGCTCACAGTACACAGCTGCTTTGAATGCTGGTGGTAGTAGTGTTTGGATTCCCATGGAATATACTCAAACACAGTGGTAGTAGCCGTGAAAACCACAACTACATGACTTTTCCTCTTAGAAGAAAACTTAATAGACTCACAGCCATGTTTTGCTTTGTTTTCAATACTGTGAATTAGACAAGGACATTGCCACTGAGATAGCACCATCAGCCCTAAGCGTTCATTATTCAGAGTAGGGACTGGAGAGGTGGTTCTATGGTTAAGAGCACTTGGTGCTCTTGGAGAAGAACTGGATTTAGTTCGCAGCACCCACATAGTGTCTCAAAAACCATCTATAACTTCAGTTCCAGAGGGTTCAACTCCCACTTCTGCCTTCTGCAGACACTGCGTGAATGTGGTATATTTACATACCTGCAGGCAAACATCTATACACACTTAAAAATAAATATTTAAAAACTTTTTTCAGGACAATGAGCTCATTTGGATACAAAGGATTCTATGATGCTTCCAGCTGTGATCCCAGAACTTAGGAGGCTGTCATAGAAGGATTGCACTAGTCTGAGGCCAGCCTTGTCTGTATTAGTGAGTTCCAGGACAGCCAGGACTAGAGTAAGACCCTGTCTCAAAAATAAAAACAGGGCTAGGAAGATGGTTCTCTGGATAGGCTTGGATGCTGTGCAAGCCTGAGGGCCTGAGTTCAGAAACCCTGTACTCCCATAGAAGACCAGCATGGCCACACGTACCTGTAACCCTGTAACCACAGCATTACATGGGTTGCAGGGGGCGGGGGGTGGGGGGGTGTTAGAAGGCAGACAGGATTTCTGAAGTGTACTAGCTGCCAGTCTTGTTGGGGATGGGGGCTGGAAAGGTAACCCTGTCTCAGAGTCTAAAGCAGAGCACGCTAGAGAAGGACATCTGCCCTCCTCCTCCAGCCTCCCCATGTGTGTCTGCAGGCACACACATATACATTCATTCATGTGTTCACACACAACACAACACTGTTTTACCCATCTTTTCTTTATTTTGCAAACCTAAAATAATATACAAAATTATCGTTTATTACAGCATATACATTTAAGTAAGATGAGAATTTAAAGCGTATTTCTGTGTGAAAGGAGTATAACTAGGGTTTTACTATGTTATTACAGTAATAAGGAGAGAAGAAAAAACTAAATACAACATTCTGAAAATGATATAAACTTTCTAATGCAGAGCCATCAGTCAGTGAATGTGTCAGTAGTAGAGTACTTGCCTAAATGTCTAAGATTTGGATTAGACCACACACACACACACACACACACACACACAGTGAGTTTTCTTATTAGACAGTAGTTCTTATACTGGAAGAACATTTTTAAACATTCTGGGTTCCATTCAAGTGCAATGTTCCTTAAACTTTAAGGTACAAGTAATCCACCCTGGAATCCTGGTTAGCACTGGTTCTGAAAAGCCAAGTGTGGTAGTACCACCTGTAATCCCAGCACTTGGGATGCAGCAGCTACAGGATACAGGAGGACTGCCATAAATATAAACCAAGCTCATTTTTAGCAAGTTCCAGGCCAGCCATGGCTACATAGCAAGACCCTATTAAATGGGAAAGAAATAAACTGGATCTTTTGGGTTCTGCTACGCAGAGGATCACCTCTGCAAAGCTTCAAAACAATCCTAGTTTCCTGAGCCGTGAGCAGGTAAGAGGCTGCATTGTGCTCCAACTTCAGTTCTGACAGAGCCATAGAGCATGATGTGAGAAACTACATTCTAAGGGAAGTAACATTTGCTTACATGTAACTATTCTTGGCCAGGAAGGTTTATTATTTATTTTTCTGCATCTCTTGGAAAAGTTTCTATTCATTTATTTTTAAATTCAAAAATTATTAATTTATTTTAAAAATTAATTTTAAAAGCAAAATAACATAGACACATAATACCATACTTAGAAAGACTATTTAATATATTTTTTCTTTTCTGTAAGTATGAAATGGGTTAGTTTTGACTACAAATTGTCAGAATTGTAGACCAAACTAGACCTTTAGAAGATGCCTGTAAACTTGACTGCAAGCACTGTGGATGTCAGATCTAGGTTCAGGAGTATGTCAAAGAGAGGACACTGCCCAGATCTCCTCACCTACTCATGTTGTGAAGATTAATCTGATAGCCCCTTCTCACTACTGCACTTAGTACTCTAAAATAATTTATCTGCAGTATACTTCTAACTTTGAGTTTTTCTCTTGTATCCTTCAAAATAATTTACTGGGCCAGTGAGACAGTTCAGTGGGTAGAAGTGCTTGCCATCAAACCCAGTGACCTGAGTGTTAATCCCCAGGACCCCCGTGATGAGAGAAGAGCACTGACTCCTTCAGGTTATCCTCATAGCTCCATTTCTAGACCATGACACATATGCACATGCACACACAAAAAGTTAAAAACACAAATAAGGATAACTTAAATATTCTACTTTAAAACTTATAAGTAAGAATTTAGAGTTATGGCATGTACCTTTAATTCCAACATTTGAGAGGCAGAGACAAGTGGATGTCTGTGAGTTCAAGGCCAGCCTGGTCTACACAGCAAATCCCAGCACAACCGGGTCTACATAATGAGACCCTACTTCAAAACAAAAATGAGGGCCAGCAAGATGGCTTATCAGGTAAAAGGCACTTGCTACCCAGTGATTGGAGTTTGATCTCTGGGCTCTTCATAAAGATAAAGGAGAGAACCAACTCCACACATAATAACTAAAATAACAAGACTTAAGAGTTTAGGCTGGCCGGGTGTTGGTGGCGCACGCCTTTAATCCCAGCACTAGGGAGGCAGAGGCAGGCGGATCTCTGTGAGTTCGAGACCAGCCTGGTCTACAAGAGCTAGTTCCAGGATAGGCTCCAAAGCCACAGAGAAACCCTATCTCGAGAAAAAAAAAAAAAAGAGAGAGAGTTTAGGTTGTATTCATCTCATGAATATGCATTTCACTACTGCAGGTGCAAAACTTCAGGTTTTTTTTTTCTTAAAATTAATAACTATTGGCTTTATAAAATTCATAGATGTTAGAACTGGTGAATGGCTTTATAATTATTTGAATTATTTTCTTACTCAGCAAAGAAAGAATAATAAAAAAGTACGAGTGACGGTGAAGCCCCATCTGCTGTACAGAGTAAGTACAAAGTTGCTATTTTTACTTTGCAAATATATAGGAAGCAAGAATTGTCTCAAGCCTGCATGGTGGCATGCCTATAATCCCAACACTCAGGAGATGGAGGCAGAAGGCTGCTGGTACTTGTAGATGGCTGAGGCTGGAGAAGTTTGCACTCGGCCTGGGCTACATGAGACCATGCCTCCATAAACAGACAGGAGGTTTCCAGTGTGACAGGGGCTCTTTCCTTAAAATGCATGCTCACTTCTTTTCAGCCTTTGGAGCAGCAGCATGGAGTCATCCCTGACCGGGACGCGGAGTTCCGTCTGTTTGATCGTGTTGTAAACGTGAGAGAGAACTTCTCAGTGCCAGTCGGCCTCCGAGGCACCGTCATTGGAATTAAAGGAGGTTAGACTTCAGTACTTGATGTCTTCATCTGCTTTCTCATTGTGAAGTAGAGCATAGCTTTGTGTGATGTGTGCATCTAAGCAGAAAATAAATCCGAGAAAAGGCTAAATCGTTTATTTTTGAGAAAATAATTCTAGAGAATTTTCTAGAGAAAATTTTCTTTTTCTGTTTCACATAATCATCTGAGAAGCAGCTGAATGGAGGGGAAGTTGAGAAGACCTGTTTATAACTTGGTAGTTTATGTATATCACACTAAAATTAAACAAGCCTTAGAGGGATACTTACATTTTTATGAAACTGAACGGAAATTTTCATCACATCTTACACTTTTAACTAATCTTACTCATAGTTTTACCTTTACATTATAAACTATAGTTTAAATAAGCCAGATAATCTAGAAAGCTCTCAAAATAAACACTGTGCTACTTACAGTGAAAAGATTTTAGATGACTTTTATGAGTACAACTAGATTATAGCCAGTTGTGGTGGTCTACACTTGCAGTCACAACACTTGGGAAGCTGAAGCAGTAGGATTACCACAGGTCCAAGGCCAACGTTGGATACATAGAGAATTCCAGGCCAGTCTAGGCTACAGAGTGAGACTTTGTCTGAAAAATAAGAAAATGGAGAAAGGCTTGCTAATAAACATATGTTCCCAAGTTCCATCCCAAGAATTCATAAAAACTTGGGTATTAGTTAGGGTTTCTATTACTATGATGAACACCCTGAGGCGAATTGCGTTTGCTCACTTGAGTGCCAGACTGTGTGTGTGTGGAGGTCAGAGGATAATTTACAGGAATAATTCTCTCTTTCTACCAGTTGGGTCATGGGGATTGTACTCAAGTCATTTTACCAGCAATGATAAATTCTCAGTCATTCCATTCCTAAATACCAACTCAGGAAAAAATAAGACTTGAATTTACACCAAGCCTTGTATGATAATCAAAAATTAGAAAAAAATCTAAATACTTGCCAGTAAGTGAATGAATAAACTGGATGCTATTCACTATGTAATGAAATGCTTCTCAAGATTAAAAAAAGAAGAAGAAATGATACATTTGAAATGGATGACTTTTAATTGTGTTGAAAAAAGCCAGAAAAAAGAGATTAGAAGCTATATCATCTTATTTAAATAAAATTTTAGGTATATGCACTAGTCTATACTGACAGTGTTTTAATAGTTTTCTGATTAATAAGGTGTATACTACAAAATGACACGGAATAATTTGAGAATAACTGTCTCATTTATTGCTTCTTTAATTACATATGGTAAAATGTATTACATTACATAGTTTAGATCTATAAATGAACTTGCAAAACACTGCTATACATTATTTTAGATATGTCCACAGATAGTAAAAGTGTAAAGATATGTATAGAAAAGCAAACTGCTGGGTGAGAGCTGGGGTTGCCTTTTAGGGAATAAGAACACGGTGGTCTTCTAAGGCATTTGTATTGTTGCTTGCTTTGGATGACAGTCTGTGTGATGCTATGTCATTCTTCATATTTAAAATGTTTTTTGTGAACTTTTAAAATAAAGCAAAAGCTTCTGGGTACTCTGAAACCTTATTGCTGGCTTCTTGTTATATGGTCATTGGTCTGACTCCCTCTCTTTATCTTCAACAGCTAGTAGAGAAGCTGATGTCCTATTTGAAGTATTATTTGATGAGGAATTTCCTGGAGGCTTAACAATAAGGTTTGTATTTCCAAATATTAATTGTACCTTGTGAATAGTCCATGCAGGATCTTGCTAATGTTACTTTTCAATGTGTTTGCCCACAATTTGACATCATAGTTGCTCCTAGTGTTATAACAGTCAGTAAGACGGACCTGTCTACCCTCCGGAGTTTTCATTTAGCAAAAGGAGATTCAGCAACTGACTATACACTGGGGCAGATGTAACTATTACCCTAAAGTCTTGGCCCCAGAAGTGGCTGTTTTGTTTAGTTAAAATGTGACAAGTACATGAATAGTGGTTAACTGTGCTAAGATGGAAGAATAGAGTGAAAAGTACTCAGGAAGACAGGATAGAACATGCAACAAAGATCATTTTCTAGTTAAGTGACTTGAGGAGTAGAGCCAGCTGAATTCAATGACATGGAAGTCTTTGTTGTCTAATGGAGTGGAGTTGTTGGGGCTTAGCCAGATGGTATTGGCTTGAGGAGTGAATGGCAATCTAGTAATGGAGACAGGAAATTTGACTCTGATGAAGAAAAGCAATCATTGGAAGTTACCAGGTTTACCTTAGTTTTTTCTTTGTTTGTTTTGTTTTGTTTTGGGTTTCTTTTGGTTTTTTGAGACAGGGTTTCTCTGTAGATTTGGAGCCTGTCCTGGAACTTGCTCTGTAGACCAGGCTGGCCTCAAACTCACAGAGATGTGCCTGTCTGTGTCTCCTGAGTGCTGGGATTAAAGGCTCAGTCCGACTGCTACCACCCAGCAGAAGTTACCGGGTTTAAAGTAGTGTGTATTTAAAAACAAATGGAGTCTGATGTCGTTTTGAGGAAACTCTAATACAAAGTTTAAGTTCACAAATTACGAAGTTTAAAGGTACAGGAGACACTAGTTAGATGAGCTGTCTCACTTAGACTTTGTAATAAAGATTACTAGAATATTGGGTGGAAGAAATTGGATCCTTTTCCAGTTTTTCTTTCTAAAATGTAACTGCAAAGCTGACATGAACTTAATTCCTTTTGTGTCTGTGTTTTGGTTAATGGGCAATTAATAATTTAAAACTACTTTCGATATAAAACCTTGTCTAAACTGAATGGTTTCTACAAGATGCCATTATTGGGCCAGCTAGACGATGCAACAGGCACAGGTGATTGATGGCTGCACAAGCCTGGCGATGAGTGCCAGCCACAGGACACAAGTGAAGGTGAGGGAAGGAAAGGACCAATTACATAAGCAGTCCTCTGACCTCATGCCCATGTGCATGCCCAATAGTAATAGAAAACTTTTTACTATTTGACATTTGAATATGCTTCTTCCTGTAGGGCCTTCCCATTTGTGCTCTTCAAACGTGGCAACAGATTTTGGATCTCTTATTCAGTTGTTTGGTTATAACTCCCATTCGCACAATAACCACATCTGTATTTAATATATGGATTACATGACTTTTGTTTTCTGCTATGTGTGTTTGTTTTGAGACAAGGTCTTGATCAGAGTTGGGCCTTAAACCCAAGATCTTCCTTGTTCTACATTCCAAATGCAGGGATGACAGACAGCCATGTGCCAGAACTCTGTCAAAATGCACCTGTATGTTTTAGGCTTTGGGTTTTGTTTTGTTTTGTTTTGTTTTTTCATTGTTTTAATTTCTTTGACAAAAGGTTTCATGTAGGCAGACTATTTTCAAATTTGAAATGTAGCAGGGCTAGGTTTGTGCACCTACTGTCCCTTCCTTGGCCTCTACAGCCGCTGCACCGCCAGGCCTGATAGAGAGCCGTGTGAATAGCTACTGCATGTGAGTACTTTTTAATGCAGAATCAGTAGTAAGTTCTCATGAAAATACATATTTTGTAGCAAAACCTGAAACTCATAAAAGAACTCTACTTTTTCAATGTCCTTCAATAAAAGAAGATGACATTTTGAAAGAAGAAAAGTATTAGGTAATAGAGTTGAAACAGTTGACAAAAGACTTCCTCCCTCCCCTTTTCTCAAGTACAGGGATCCAACCTTGAATTACACTTCCAATATTTTTTTTTTGCTTTTGTTTTTCTCCCCCATTTTGAGGCAAGGTGGCGGCCTTGAACTGCCTATGTGTCTGAGTATGACTTTGAACCCTTAATCTTCCTACTCCTACCTGTAAACTTCTGGCATTATAGGCATGTACAACCAGACCCACCACAAATTAACTTTTTAAAAGATTTAATTATGTATATAGTGTTCTGCTTGCATGTACACCTGCACACCAGAAAAGAGCACCAGATCTCATTACAGATGGTTGTGAGCTACCATATGGTTGCTGGGAATTGAACTCGGGACCTCTGGAAAAACAGCCAGTGATCTTAACTGCTGAGCCATCTATCCAGCCCTAAACTAACTTTTTAATTGTAGGTGCTCACCTGGTAGGGGTTACCGACTGCCAACAAGTGCCTTGGTGAACCTTTCTCATGGGAGTCGATCTGAAACTGGAAATCAGAAGTTGACAGCCATTGTGAAACCACAACCAGCCATGAATTACTCCAGCTCAAACTCATCAGTTTCATCTGGGCACTTGGGAGGCCTCAACCATTCTCCCCAGTCACTTTTTGTCCCTACTCAAGTAAGGTTCTCATTCTTTATTTCTCCCACTTTCTTTGCAAATCAAAAATCATAGAGAACTCCTAAGTGGAACTTCATTTGACTGAGTTTTCTTTTTTGATTTAAAAAAATTAGTACAGAGCCTGATGTAAAGATACACACACCATTTGTTTGTTTATTCTTTTGCTTTGTTTTGTTTTTCTGAGACAAGGTGTCTCTGTGTATCTCTGGCTTCCTGGAAATTGCTCTGTGAACTTGTCTCCTGCCTCTGCTTCCTGGTGCTGGGATTAAAGGCATCTATCCCTCGATAGATACATACACCTTTAATTCCAGCACTTGGAAGGGTGAAGTAGGATGCTATCCTGACCACATATGCTGTGTTCCTGGTCAGCTACAAACTAAGGTCCTGTATCAATGACAAACAAAATGAATACGCTTGGTGCTATTAACAGTATTCTACCTCTGTTATAAGATTACACTTACAGCAAAGAAGAAATATATTATCTAAATAGCAAGCTCCAGAATATTCTTGTTTTCTCTTAGTATATTTATTTTGTAATTGATACTTGTTTTACTTAGGGTTTCTATTGCTGTGAAGAAACACATGACCAAAAGCAAATTGGGGAGGAAAGGGCTTATTTCAGCCTCCAGTTCCATGTCTCAGTTCATCTTGAAGGGAAGTTAGGACAGGAAATGAAACAGGGCTGGAACCTGGATGTTGGAGCTGATTTAGAGGCTGTGGAAGAGTGCTGCTTACTGATTTGCTGAGTTTGCTTGCTTTCTTACTTGCTTGCTTGCTTTCATTTGTTTTGTATGTTTCTTTGTTTTGTGGGTTTTTCGTTTTTCAAGACAGAGTTTCTCTATGTAGCCTTGGCTATCCTGGAACTCACTCTGTAGACCAGCTCACAGAGATATGCTTGCCTCTGCCTCCAGAGTTTTAGGATTAAAGTGTGTGCCACCACCAATTGGCTCAGTTTGCTTTCTTACAGCATCCTGGATCACCAGCCCAGGAGTGTTACTGCACACAGTTAGCTGGGCCCTCCCACATCAATCATCAATATCAATCAGGAAAATGTAATATAAGCTTACCTCCAGGCAAATGCCTCCAGGGATTTTCCCAATTTCTCTTCCCAAATGGCTCATTCTTTTGCATTGGCATAAAACTGACTAGCACAACATTTAAATTTCTTATGTAATCTAAATGCCCTATGATACCTCTTATGAGTAACAAAAAGTTTGAGCATAATGGGGAGATGATTATGTCATACTCATAATAAACAAGTTTGAAGCTTAGACGTGGTGACACACACCGATAGTCCTAGTACTTGGAAGTTGGAGGCATGGGGCTCAGGCGTTGAGGTCATCCTCCACTACATGAGATTGAGGCCCTCCTCTGCAAACCTTACAAGAGGCAAGTTTCACATTTCTGCCATGCATTTATGATCATGTTCTTCATCTTTCTGAGCGTAAGAATGAAGTTATTGTCTGTGAAACAGTTTTAATTCCATGGCCCTAAGTCTTAGGCTTCACCATATTTTTTAACACAATGCCGTATATCATTGCAAAACTGATATATGTTTATTATAAAGCAGTTTGAAAAAACAGGTAATTAGTTGTAAATAAACACAAACAAAATTCTAATTGCACAAGTAACCATAATTGAGTTTTTCTTCTTTGGGGGTTTGTTTGTTTTGAACAGGGTCTCACTATGCAGCTATGGCTGACCTGAAACTTGTTATATACAGACTGGGTCAGGCTGAACTCAGAGAGCTCTTCCTGCCTCTGTTTCTACCTCCTAAGTGCTGGGCCTAAAGGCAAGCGCCACCTCCACTAGCCCGGTGTTAAGTTTTGATGCATGTTTTTACCAGTCTTAATCTGCATGAAACCATTTACCTACTCTAGCTAGTTTTAAAATTTATTACATTATTTCAGTGTTAGGTGGAGATTTGTTAGTTTTTAGGCAGGTTCTTACTGGGTAGCTCAGCCTGGCCTGGAGTTCGTGGCGGGGGGGGGGGGGGGGGGTTGTTTTTTGGTTTTAGTTTTGGTTTTTGGTTTTGGTTTTTCAAGATAGGGTTTCTCTGTATTGTTTTGAAGACTGTCCTGGAACTAGCTCTTGTACACCAGGCTGGCTTCGAACTCAGAGATCCGCCTGCTTCTGCCTCCCAAGTGCTGGGACTAAAGGCATGGCGGAGTTTGTGTTCTTGATGACACCTCCCAAATACTAAAATTCTAGGTGTGTACCACCAGGCCAGCAAAGGTGAAGGCTTTCAGATAAAGTCTTTGGGTGTAAAATTGAGTAAGTTAATAGATTAGCACATTAGAAAACAAAAAAATAAATCTGTTGGTGGGGACATTTTTATCATCCTTTAAAGGGAAATTTGAGATAGGGTCTCACATAAGCCCAGATTGGCTTCAGACTTGTTACATAGTTGAAGCTGACCTCAAACTCATGATCTTCCTACCTCCACCTGTATGTATCATCGTCATGGTATGGTTGGCTTAGACCATTGAGAACATATATTTATGAAGACTAGTTACATTCCAGTACAGTGCTTTAGCAGTTACTATACTCATCTCTAGAGCAGGGAAACTGGGAAGTTCAAACAGTGAAAGTTAAGTATCTGTTTATCATTCAATAATTTTAATAAATAGTTTTAATTTTAATATATCTTTATAATTTTTGTTTGTTTATTTATTAGGTACCTACAAAAGGTGATGATGAGTTTTGCAACATTTGGCAATCTCTACAGGGATCTGGAAAAATTCAACCCCATCAGCCAACGGTACAAGAAAAGGTTAGTTTTTCTTTTCATTTGCAATGATACATTTCTCTCTAAATTTCATGACCATTTCAATCATGAATTTTCATTATTCCTTTTAGGCATACATACATTTGGGCCAGTAAGTGGGAATATAATCAGTTTTGGCATCATTTTTGAATTTGTGAATTTACCTAATTCACAAAAAGGTAATAATTACATTTTGAATTTAATAAAGGCCTTAATGGCATTCATTAACTTATATTTTCCCACTTGAATATACAATGTTATACTGGTAGTGAGAAAATGGTTACAGAGCCGGGCGTTGGTGGCGCACGCCTTTAGTCCCAGCACTTGGGAGGCAGAGGCAGGTGGATCTCTGTGAGTTCGAGACCAGCCTGGTCTACAAGAAAATGGATACAGAGATTGCAAAGAGGTCTGAGACTGCAGGCAATGATGCAGAGCTCCCGGCACTTTGAAACAAGACAGAAGAAGCAGGGCCTAGAGAGTAGGGACTCAGGCTGAAAAATGAAAACTAAAAGAGGCATTGGGAAATTGGCTTGGTTGACAGAGTGTTTGCTGTGAAATCGTGAAGACCTGAGTTCAACCCTCAGCAGCCACATGAAAAAGCTAAGTGCATCGCACCAGTAACTGTGTTTAATCCCATTGCTGCAGAGCCAGGTATAGGAGGATCCCTGAGGCTTGCGGTCAACCAGGCCAGGTTCAACAAAAAACCCTTTCTCAAAAAATAAAATGGTGGACAAACACCTAGTGCACACGTACACATGAAGCAGCACACATTCATGTACACACACACACACACACACACACACACACACACACACACACCAATATCTGTACAGACATACACGCAAAACCTACCATTCATGGTGTTATATGCCTCTTATTCCAACACTCAACTGAAGAGGCAGTAAAATCAATTACATAGGAAATTTGAGTTGAGCCTACGCTACCCTGAAACCTTATCTCAAATTTAAAAAAAAAAAAAAAAAAAATCCATTAGCCTGAGAAAATTGTTCAGTTGGTGTGGTGGTTTGAATAAGAATGGCCTCCATAAGCTCATATATTTGAATATTCAATCTCCAGGGAGTGGAATTCCTTGGTGGGATTAGAAGGATTAAGAGGTGTGGTCTTGGAGGAAGTGAGTCACTGGGAATGAGTTTTGAGGTTTTCAAAAGCCCACACCTGGTCCGGTGTTTTTCCGTTTCTCTCTCTCTTCACCTGTGGGTCAATATGTAACTCTCAGTTACTGCTCCAGCACCATGTGTGCTGCTAAACTCCCTGCCATGATGATGATAGACTAAACCTCTGAAAATGTAAGCAAGGCCCCCAATTAAATACGCTTTTAAGAGTAGCCTAGGTCATGCTAAGGGGGAGCTAATGCCCTCTTCTGACCTCGTCAGACATGACACATGTGGCAAACATTGATATCCATATATAGATAAACAAGGATAGTAATAATATCTTTTTTATAAGATAGTAGAGAAAGGGAGAATTGAAAGTCACATGTATAGGTAACTTTTACAGGCATTTTAAAGCTACTGACCCCTGTCTGTACCTCCCAAGTGCTGGGATTATAGGTGTCACTATTCGGTGACCAAAGAATTCTGCTCTAAAAGGAAATGTTAGCATGCTGTTCACAATAGCATATGCTTGTAGTCCCAACTACTCTCTCCATCTCAGAAGGCTAAGACAGAAGAATCACTTAACCCATGAGTCAAGAGTTCAAGGCCAGCCTACATAACACAGCTTCATAAAAGTAATGAGTGGGTAGGTGAGAGAAAACACCTCCCTGATTCTTGCGTGTGCCTTCTTTACTAACTCTGGCTTTTCCAACATTTGACCAGAGAACAATTCCACTGAAGTGAACAAGTTTTCTTTTCCTTTGCCTTATTACCTGAGTAATGACTTTGACTCTTTCCTGTCTGTTAAGTATAACTAATTATAATCTCTGGTCTGGCCTCTCAATGAAGTATTTGATCCAGTATTGCCAGCCTGTAGAGAAGGAGTATATGGATACTCCACTGCCACATCAACCTCAAGATGTCCCCAAATCAACCCCATCTAAAGCCTTCCTCTTACTCCTAGCACCATTGTTGCCCAGGCAGTTGATCTAAAAAGCTTGGAATCAAGAACTTTTGTCCCACAGATCTGAATGACTCCCTGTTTGTCTCTCTTCTGTCCACACTGGCTTTCTGCTGCTACTTTGGTATGCTGCCACCCCAAAAGAAAATTTTAGTTGTTGTCTTCCTTCTGTTTCCTAAATCCTTGAACTGCTCAGTTCCCACAGTTAGACTTTATAGTTTTCCACAGGCCTCACCTAAGCTCTAGTCTATGTTCTCCCATATGTCATCTCTTTCACTTAGAGTTCTTTATATATAATAGTTCCTAATCTTTCTGAAAGAGCCTTTCACCTGTATTGGCCTCAAGGCATAATTGGGTAAGGTTTCTTCTGGGTCAAAAACCACTTTATGCCCTGTAGCAGTAGATTGTAGTAAGTACTGAACCTCAAGTTCTGGAATTGAGATTTCATAATACAAGTTTCACAAATGTACTTCTTTGGACTGTGGTGATCACACATATGTGGTAAAGGCATTGGAGACCGTGGATATCTTTGCCAGCCCTAAAACTGTGTCACTTTGATCATTTTGAACGCATTGGGCTCCCTGTTCAGTACCATTGGATTCCAGCCTGAGTCCTCCTACTCATAAGGTCTTTTGTGAGCCACAACTGATGTGGAAGACAGATAGGGAGTTATTAAATAACTGACCAAAAACAATGGCATAGAAATTGACTTTTAAAAGTATATCTGTGACTTCATTGCCATGTACATAACATGTGGAATTAAAGTCCTTGTGGGGCCATCCAAGATAAAAAAAAAAAAAAAAAAAAAAAAAACAGCCCACCTACTAGGTGCATGGAAAGATCTAGTATACATGGACAAGACCCTAAGAAAAACCCAGGCTACAGAGGCCATCAGGACTCTGACTCTCGAGCCACTTGTCCTCTGTCTTGAGAGTGCCCTGGTGCTTTGCTCTAACAAACCTGTCATTGTCGAGTCTCTTCTCTGTCTTTCTTTGAACTCTTTCTCCTAGACCAGAAACCTCTGGGAACTCTAGTCCAAGAACCATACTAATTCACATAAAGTATGTCCAACTATTGGGTTAATTAATGTTTTCAGATAGCACTCTTTACTTTCCATTTCCCATAAATGATTCCCATTTGGGATTGTGTGTTCTTTTTGTTCTGTCTACTTAGAATATGCTTTCTTTCTTTACTGCTAAATCCTTTTAGATCTGGCTCAAGCCTGTTCTTTCCTGGAGATATTGTTTCATAATCTGTATGTAATTTCTGTTATCAGATACAACTTATTTCAGCTGAACATAGTCATGTTCTGTCTATCTCCTGTATATTACAAGAATTGTAAGCTACCTAAATCAAACTCATGAAGTATTAAGCTGAGTGTGGTCAGGCATGGTGGCACACACCTTTAATCCTAGCACTCAGGAGGAAGAGACAGGCAAATATAAGTTCTAGGCCTGATCTACATAGTGAGTTCCAGGGCAGCCAGAGCTACACAGAGAAACCCAGTCTCAGAAAACCAAGAAGAGCAGGGGGAAAAAGAAGCTGAGCTTAAGCAAATTCTAGGGAACTCACCAAAAGCTTAAAAAAAACAAAAAAATCCAGGCATTCCTTAACAATATATAACAGTATGCCCAACACAAATGTTTTTACAGAGACATCAAACAGAAGAACCCAAAGAGGGTGGCTCACAGTTAAGAGTGGTGGGTACTGCTAATTGCAAAGACTCAAGTTTGGTTCCTAGAGCCTGTGTTAGGCAGCTCACAACCACCTCTAACATGTACCTACACATATAAATAGTATGTTTTTTTTTAATTAAAAATGACCCAAAGAACTATTCACAACTATATTATTTGCTTTCCATTTAGAATATATATGTTTTTCAGCATACTTTAAACTTAAATTTTGGAGTTTGAGCTCAAATATCAGTAATTACACAATGAAATTATCACTGTGGACTTCAGTTTATTTACATGTAAAGCAAAATAAAAATATGTCATAACATTATTATGATGGTAGCATTACTATACTGATACTGAGATAATGGAAGCAAAATACATTTAACATTCCTGGCAGTAATAGGCACATGACATTTATTTATACCTATCTATTGGTCCTTATGTTCTCATTCCCTTTCTTAGACCCAAACCCCTCAGAAAGTACTACTGTTCCCAAAAGCTCTACTAGGTGTCTTGCTATGATGGTAGAATCTCATGCCATGTGACTAGTAATGAATCAAGAACCCTGGCTGATGCTGTGTGTGTGAGCTCACTGGGTTTTTTCCCCCCAAACTCCATCCTATATCACAAGTGTTTTAGGACAAGATCAGTGTCTGCTAGGATATGATGTGCCTTTGTACCCAATGTGAATTTCTATGTGCCCAGAGTTGAAAATAAATAGGACTTGCCAAGAGCAAAATGATGAAAATTACTTTGTGTTAAAGTTTCCCAGTCTCTGCTTTTACTTCCTCTTGCAGATTCAGCTATATCAAGTTGTTTCTTTTGCCCTCAGGCTTTCTTTTCCTTTCAAAAAATAAAGGATCTTAGGATTAGAGAGTTGGCTCAATGAGTAGAGTGCTTGGACATGAATTTGGATCCCCAGTACTCACGGAAAAGCCAGGCATAATGTCACACGTCTGTAGCCACAATACTAGGGGTGTGAAGACAGGCAGACCCTATGGGTTTGCTGGCTGGTCAAGTCTAGCTGAAATGGTGAATTCCAGGTTTAGTGAGAGACCTTGTCAAGAAATTAGGTGGAGAAGTGACTGAGGGAGGCATGCTGACATTATGATGTGAGCACATACACACAGCAATAAGCACACGCATTCACACACACACACAAGAAAAATGATCTTGTAAAATGTTTATGTGAAACTTAATCATGTTGTTTCACTATCCTGCCTATTTGTAAAGTGTCTTAATTACTACAGCTTTGTGAATAATGTTGCTGCAAAAGTGTGTTTCATTTGACAGTATAAATAATCATTTTAAATCAGGTATTGGGGAAGAAATATAAAAAAGAATGTAAATGAGACAATATCCTCAACTTTCATAAAATGCAAGAAAAATTATTAATCTGAAAACTTTTTATTGAAAAACCTTTAACATTAATGACTCAAGAGAATCATTCAGGTGAATCTACCAGTCCCCATTCCTTAGCTTGCTCCTGTCAACCCTTGTTCTTCTGCTACACGAACTCGCTCCTTATCCCCACTTACACTAAAAGTGGGTTTGTTTGGAAACAAATCTAGAGAAATTTTTAGACAACTTTCTAGAGGGTTGGAGAGATGGCTCATCGGTTAAGAACACTTGTTGCTCTTGCAGAGGACCCAGGTTTGGTTTCCATTGTCCAACTGGTCCAACTGGTGGCTCACAAGCATCTGTTACTCCAGTTTCAGAGAATCTGACGCCCTCTTCTGACCTCCTTAACTACCAGGCACACACATGGTGCACAGACATACATGCAGGCAAAATTCCCATACTCTTAAATAAAGGAAATCTTAAAAAGAGATTTAGAGAAGTTTCTATTATGAAAAAAACATTCAAAGATTAGCATTTCCTTTAGTTTTTGTATTTGTTAACTTGAATTGAAGTTAGGTTGAATTATTTCTATTGAAAAGAGAATTTAGGGGATTTATCTTGCTTTCTAACTAACACATAGAGGAATCCTGGTGTGGTGGCCACTAGACTAATGATTCTTAATTCCAGGGTGGTTTGGGGACAGTTTTTAAAATTCTATACAGTTATCTGTGTTTTTCTAATAAACTGTGTAATTTTTATTGAATTAAATTTAAATTTTTTTAAAGTTATAATATGGTTTTGTTTAATTGATTTCTGAGAATTTTAACTTTCAGGTTGCAGTTCTACCTCAAGAAATAAGTCAAGTAACTCAGCCACATAAATCCGGCTTTAATGACAACAGTGTTAAAATTCAGCAAAGAAAACATGACCCTCACCGAAAATGTAAGTTTTAAGGTAGAAAAGTGTTGATGTGCTTTCTACTTTGTTGTTTGTTTGTTTGTTTGTTTGTTGAGCAACTTTGTTGAAATACAACTCATACTTTAAAATAAATTCATCAGGCAAGTGAGGTGGATCAAGCCTGGCAACCAGAGTTCATTCCCCAAGACACCCGTGGTAGAAGGAGAGAAACAGCTCCCAGAGTTATTCTCTGCACATGCCCACACACACAAACACGCATACAGAGACAGAAAATAACAAAGCACAATCATCATGTTATCACGTCTTCAGTAATGAGGAAGGGGTAGCTTATTAATGCTTTTGCATGTAGATGCCCACTTGTTGCAGTACAATTGTCAAAAAGACTATTCTTTCCCCCATTGCATTATCCAGGTATATATATGTCTTTGTGGTGACTTACGGGCTCTCATTTCTATCCCACTGGTCTATGCACATCAGTATAAACAGCATGCTGTTTTCCCTACTGTAGCTTTCTTTTAGAAATCAAATTTTTGAGTTCCCCAGCTTTGTTTGCCTTTTTCAAGATGCTTTCATTTTATTCTGGGTCTTTGCATTTCCATAATCTTATCTATTTCCTCAAGCACTGTGCCTGGAGTTTTCATAGATCACATTTTTGTATACAGTGTCTTACACTTCCCTGCCTGTGAACACAAATGCCTTTCCATCTACTTAGTTTTTTTCTAATTTCTTCCATTAATGTGTTATCATTTACAGTGCAGAAACCTCGGACTTTTTCTTATTGTTAAATTTATTCCTCTATTATTCTTTTTGATCCTGTTATTGATAAAGCTATGTTTGTTTGATTTTTGTTTTGAGGTTTTTGGGGGTTTTTTGGTTTTTTGTTGTTGTTGTTGGTTTTGGTTTTGGTTTTTCTGTAGCTTTGAAGACTGTCCTGGAACTAGCTCTTATAGACCAGGCTAGTCTCGAATACACAAAGATCCACCTGCACCTGCCTCCCGAGTGCTGGCATTAAAGGCGTGAGCCACCAACGTCCGGCTGATTTTTGTTTCTGGTTTTGTTTTTATTTTCGAGACAGGGTTTCACTACGTAGCCCTGGCTGTCTTGCAACTCTCTCTGTAGACCAGGCTGGCCTTGAACTCACAGAGATCCACCAGCCCCTGCCTCCTGAGTGCCTGAGATTAAAGACATGCGCTGCCACCACTGGGCCATATGTTCATTTCTGTTTTTAAAAACAAAGTGGGCATTCTTGCCTAACTTCAACAAAAACTTCTAGTCATGTGTGTCCTCATGTTTTCATTTTCTTCCTTTCCTGTCTTCCTTATTTCCTTCCCTTTTTTATTCTCCCTCTTCATGTCCTGCTACTTTCTTCATGCTCTTCCTTTGGTATCTCCTTTCCTGTCGTCTCTCCTCACCTGCTATTTGATGCTGGTTGTGGTGATAATGTTTTCATTATTGTTGTTTGACACAGAATTTCCCAAAGCCCTGGCTGGCTGGGTCCTCACTTATGTGTCCAAGGATAACTTTGCTCCCACTACCTAAGTGCTGGGATCACAAGCATGAGTTGCCATGCCCAGTATTTTATTCTTTCATTTCCACACAGGCTTAATAAACAGTCCAGTGATAAAGAGTAAAAAATAAGTTATAGAACAACTGTATAACTCAGTATATCTAGTACAGTAGGAGATTACACACTAACTGCTGTCCTTTTCCTATCTTCACCTCTATATCCTTTCATTTCCTAAATCTTCTAAAGATAATCTCTCATTTCTTATTTCCCCTTTTGTCTCTTAGCTTTCCCTTAACAGGAATGGTAAAAGTTGCTTTTTATGGGCATGATGGTAAACACCTGTAATCCCAACATTATGAAGGGTGAGTCAGGAGGACTGGGCCACAAGTTCGAGGCCAGCCTGGTCTCCAGAGCAAGTGCCAGGATAGGCTCCAAAGCTACACAGAGAAACCCTGTCTCGAAAAACCAAAAAAAAAAAAAGAGAGAGAGGGAGAGAGAGAGTAAAGAGACAAATAAGAAAACTCTCAAAATTTTCTTTCTGAAGCTGGGAGGTGGTGGCGCATGCCTTTAATCTCAGCACTGGGAGGTGGACCTCAGAGTTTGAAGCCAGTCTGGTTCAGGACAGTCAGGAATACACAGAGAAACTCTGTCTCAAAAAACAAAAGGCAAAGCCAAAACAAACAACATTTTTTTTTGAGTTTATGGCATATTTGTGTTCATGTATAAAATATACACACACACACACACACACACACACACACACACACACCCGCCTACCTCTGCCTCCCGAGTGCTAGGATTAAAGGCGTGCGCCAACGCCCGGCTCTTACTCTCCTTTTATCTTATAATTTAATCCTACAAAATTATAATTCTGATCAGATTACTACCTGCTCAGAACCTTTCTGTGATTGCTTGCCCATTGCTTACAACTTAATTCCATATATGACTCACCTGCCTCTTTAGTTTCACTAAGCTCAGTATTACTCCTTAACCTCCTGCAGGACTAGCCCATTTAGAATTGCATAAGTACGGTCCTTTCTAGTCCTTCCTGCTTTCATATCTTTTCTCGAATCTTTTTTTTTGCCTAGAATTCCAAGCCTCCTCTTTTGTGCTTGGAGAACCTACCACTCTTCAACGCCCAAATCAGATGCCACTTTCCTTTCCCATCTAATCACCTGCAATTATCTTCCTCTGTCTCACCTGGATTATAAATTCCTTCAGTTCATGCATCTTCTCATTTGGGGCTGTGGTCAGTGGAAGAGCACTTGCCTGGCATGGACAAGCACCTAGGTTTGATCTCCAACATTGACAGCATTCGGGGAGGAGGTGCACAGACACAGGAGGAAATAATTATACACTTTCTTGAAATACTTTAAACACTGTTTTGCTGTGGTAAATACTTGATGAATTTAACTGTTGGTTAGTAAGCTCTTTTGCTTCCCAAAATTTATGTTTTCTTGTCTCCAGTTAAGGAAGAATATAAGAGTCCTAAAGCTGAGTGCCAGACACAAAAATTGCCCAATAAACAGGTAATTTTTCTTTAAATAAAAATTTTAAAAGCTGGATGTTCTTATGCACTTGGTTGTTGTATAGCATCTAAGTGAATTTTGTAGCCTTTTCAACAATCTAAGGAATTCGGCAAAAGCTATAGTCACAGTCACTTGGATGGATGGTTACACAGCTGGAGTCTAGGGTTCAGAATAGAGACATCAGTCATCCTCATTTTACCATTTAAGAGTTGGGTGGTGTTGAGCAAATCTTAACAACCTCAAGTTCTTTATCTTTAAGATGGAAATAAACTATCGGTCAATTAAAGGTTTTCTCACATATTATAAAATACTCAGAAGTGTCTATTTGTATAGACACTGGTATCAGCATTTAAAAAGTCAAATTGTATAGAGTTAGAATGGGGGAGCTGAGCTCATACATTTTATTTTGTTTTACAATGTCTCCACTGTTTAATAAAGAACATGTAGGCTGTTAAGAATCAAAGAATTTGGCATACATGATTATGTATACTTTTATGCATATGTATCATGCTTTACTACACATTTTTGAGTGGATCGCTTGGGTTGGGAATATAGCTCAATGATGAATGCTTCTCTACTATGTGGAAGACCCTGGTTCAGTTTCTACCACTGAAAATTTTTTAAAAAGGTGGCCAGGCTTGGGAGCAAATGCTGATTTTTAGACAAGGTCTCTTGTAGCAAAGTTGACCTCTTAACTCACTATGTAGGTAGCTAAGGCTAGCCTTGAATACATGGTCCTTCTGCCTCTACCTTCAAAAGAGTACTGAGATTAGAAGATTGTGCGACTACACCCAGCCAAAATAATGTTTTTAATAGTAAAGTAAAATATATAAGTTTGAGAGAAACAACAGTACTGAAATATAGTTAGGATCTGGTAAGTGTCTGTGTCCTCTAAGGACTTTCTTACTGGCCTTTAGTTAAAGGCTCCTGTCTTAAATTCTGACATGTTAGAACATACTGTTTTCTTTCTCGTTTCACAATTGCTAATCCTGTCATGAGAATGCCACCTTATGGAACCGATTGTCTCCTGAATGAGGTGGGGAGCACACACAGTCAATGGTTATTGCCCATATTCGAGACTGAAATAAATCTAAATCTTATTTGCAGATTAATGAAAATAAAGATAATTTCCCCATTCAAGTTAAGAGCCTCCCCCCCCCCTTTTTTTTTTCTTATGGCATTAAAAGAAAGCAGTACTTGGAGCTGGAGAATTGGCTTACTATTAAGAGCACTGCTTGCTCTTCCACAGGACCTGGGTTCAATTCCCAGCACCCACATGGCAGCTCACATAAACCGTGGTGCACTGACAAACATGCAGATAAAACACACATAAAAATGAATAAATATCTTGCAATACATAAATACTTTTCTCAATTTATTTAGAATACTGTTTAAATAGTAACTATAAGTTTACTTACACAAAAACTTACTTTTTCTTACAGACTTCTGGAGGGTCTGCCAAATGTAATATTAAACTATTGAAGAGAAATGAAAGTCCAGGAGCCTCAGAAGCCCAGAAGGTTGTGACTGGTTACCCAAATGCTATTGATAAGGTAAGTAAGTAAATAAATAAATCCTTTATTTGATGTCTCTTCCCAAACTTTTACATCTAGGAAAATGATTGAGTGAAAGTTGAATTTTTAGAATAAAATCTAGTGTTTTACTACTTGATTTTTCGTCTTATTCATAAATATTTACTCTTTTAGCCTCACTCTGGAATTGAGAACTTTTTAGCATCCTTGACTATCTCTAAAGAAAGTGAAGTACAGTCACCTCATCACGGAGAGCCTCCAGATGAGGAGCATCTGTCCCCACAGTCATTTGCTATGGTTCGTATGTTCAGCAGCTTTAGAACTACAGTCATTTCTCTATCATTGGTCATGCATGCCTACCCCATGAGTCTGCTCAAACCCTGTCTCATGTTGGATGGTATCCTGTCTCAGTTTTTAGTTTGGTTTGGTTTGGTTTGGTTTTTTGGTTTTTCCAGACAGGGTTTCTTGGTGTAACAGCTCTAACTGTCCTGGAACTCACCTTGAAGACCAGTCTGGTCTTGAACTCACAGAGATCTACCTGTCTCTTCCTCCTGAGTGCTGGGTTTAAAAGCGTGGGCCACCAACATCTGGCTCTTGCATTACTGTCGTCATCAAGTGAGGGAAATCGGGATGCTTTGAGCAATTTAGCCATCTTTTTATGTTTTGTTGGCTTTGTAAGGTTTTGTTTTTTTTTTTCCCATTAAACCATAGATCCCTGCTTTTTAAACATTGCTGTTGACAGGGCTAAAAGTTAAATAGGATAAATATTATCTGTGTAGCTTGAAATGTGAATGTTTTTCAGGCCATGGCCATCTTAGATGAGTTTAGGTAGCATCTTAATTTTAACAGCAAGAACTCTTCAAAAAGGCTGGGGAGATGGCCAGTAGTAGAGCTCCTGCCTAGCATGTATAAGGACAACACCACAAAGAAAAAAATAACCTCAGGAAACCAAGAAGAGGCAGAAATGACCTACGTGAGCCTAACATTTACTTTCTTCTCACCCCCACATCTACCTATGAATCATTTTCTAAAAAGAAAGGAACACGGATGCTTAAAGAAATTCTAAAAATCGATAGCCCTGACACAACCGACAGTAAGAATGATGGGAAACAATTTGATAGCGAAGTCACTGCTTCTCCCAATAGAAGAGATGAGCATGGACCATTCTCACAACCCGAGCAAAGTAAGAAGCTGGGTGAGTTAACTGAGCGCAGTTGCTAATAGCGAATATTATTTCCAAAAGTTTGCTTCATTTGGTTTCTTCCAAAACAGTTGATATGTTTGTCTGCCTGTCTGTCTGTCTGGTATGTTTACATGGAGAGCACATGTGTGCAGATCAGAAGACAACTTGGAGGAGTCAGTTCTTTCCTTCCATTGTGTATATCCCAGAGATTGACTCAGGTCATCAGGCTTGACAGCGAGCACGTCTCCCAATTAAGCCATCTCACCAACCCCATTTGTTCTTTTTAAAAGTATGGGGCTGGGGCTGGAGAGATGGCTCAGAGGTTAAGAGCACTAACTGCTCTTCCAGAGGTCCTTTTCCAGAGTTCAATTCCCAGCAACCACATGGTGGCTCACAACCATCCACTATGAGATCTGGCGCCGTCTTCCGGTGTGCAGATATTCATGGAAGCAGAATGTTGTATACATAATAAATAAAATCTTTAAAAAAAAAAAGTAGGGGGCTGGAGAAGTGGCTCAGGAGTTAAAAATACTTGCCACAAATTTATAAAGACCAGAGTTCACCTATATAGCACACAAATAACAAGCCAGGTAGCCCATAAACACCTATTATTCCAGCTACTAGGAAAATAAGAAGATTGCTGGGTCTTGCTTGCTTTCAGCCTATCCAAGAAATCCAAGCCCCCAGGTTCAGAGAGCCCCTGCTGCCATTGTTTTTGGAGACAGAATCTTTTTGTATCCCAGACTGGATTCAAACTGTGGCAATCCATCTGCCTCAAGATCACAGATGCAAGCCGCCATGCCAGCCTATCATTTTTTAACCATTTAGCAGTTTTCTGTTTGATTTACTATAAACTTGCAATAACTGGTGTCTTGGTCACACTTTACTATTGCTGTGAAGATACCCCATGACCAAGGCAACTCCTATAAAAGAATTTAATTGTGGGCTTGCTTAACAGTTTGAGAAGTTTAGTACATTATCATCATGGTCACATGCATGGCTCTAAAGCAGTGGCTGACAGAGAGGAACTGAGCCCGTTTCAAAGCTCGGGCTTTGAAATGTCAGAGCCCACCCCCAAAACCATTTTAATTAACATGGCTATTCCCTTTTCTCTCCTGACAGCATGCTTTATGAACAAGCCCCGTGGTACCAATGAATACCAAAATGCTCCATCTGTGGAGGGTGTGTGTTGGCCTGGCCATATCCCTCCTGTATCCACACCAGTAACTGAACTTGCTCGAATTTGTTCCCTTGTTGGAATGCCACAACCAGATTTTTCTTTTCTGAGAACAACACAGGTATAGTATGCTGCTATTTGATGGCTACACGGTTCTAAATCTTTGAGCGAAGTGGCTGAAAAAATCTTTAGCTAGAAAAAGAAAACAATAGTGTGGAGGTTGTTTGTTTTATTTGTGTGAGTGTAAGGTTTTTGTTTGTTTGTAGTTTGAGGAGTTGTTTTTCAACAGCACTAGAAATTGAACTCAAGGCCTCACATACACATACTGTGCCAAGAGAATATATAAGATCACTACTAAAGCTCAAAGACAGTAATGGGGTTTTCTGTGCACCCCCCTCCCACCCATAATCTTTCTCTGCTGAAGCTGTAAACAGGATCATGCCTAGTTGAAAAATAAAACAATGGGTATATTGAGCAAAGCAACTTCCAGGCAAGTTCTCCAGGCCCAGAGACCAAGGCCAGAGAATTTGAATGCCTGAACTAAAGCAGGGAGATTGTTGTAGACAAGGGCTGATGATGTATTCTACACTAGCTGGGTTTGTGCCCACGTGTGGTCAAAAGCTGAGTGCTTAGGCAGGAACTTGAGCCACTGGCAACTTTGGCAAAGAAGCTGCAAGACCCACCAGGAATACAGAACTGGGATTTTTGGTGCCTTTCCTTAGGAATGAGTAAGGGTTTGGAGCGGGAGGGGGGGGGCTTTCCAGACCATGCAGGTGTTAGAGCTGGAGGCTCTAACCAAACCAGAACCTCTGAGTTTCTCACACTTGAGCAGTTATATTTTCAGTGCTGCTTGAGGTGGTAGTAAACGTAAGTGTGCAAGCTAATTCTGTCAATGGCCCGTGTTTCATGCTGTGGAACATACAGTCTTTGTCACCATTTCTCATCTCTATAATAGTGGCAAGGGTTTCATAAGCAATTCTGGGTTTTGGTTTGGTTTGGGTTTGTTTTGGTTTTTTTGTTTTGTTTTTTCCATTTTTCAAAACAGGGTTTCTCTGTGTAACAACCCTCACTATCCTGGAACTCACTCTGTAGACCAGGCTGGCCTCTTTACCACAGCCTGGTTGTTGTTGTTTTTAATGTAAAACTTTGTTAGCAAAAGGCTTAGTTTGCCAATTCTTAGAATAGAGAAAAAAGCTTTTCCAGCCCTCATTTTCATTGAAATACTTGATGCTCAGTCTTGTTTTGACAGCTTATTCTTTTATTCTGTCTTAAACTTGTTTCCCATAGTCAGATTGGTCTCTAACTCCTAAGTTCAAACAATCCCATCTTCCCCTTCAGCCTTCCAAAGAGCTAAGACTTCAGTGCCTGCTCAAGAGAGTATTCTATCTTGTAAATGTTAAAGGGTAAGGCTGTGAGCTGAGCAGCACTCAGGAGGCAGAGGCAAACATATCTCTGAGTTCAAGGCCAGCCTAGTCTACATAGGGAGTTCCAGGACAGCCAGGACTACATAGACCCTGAGTTTTTATTTTTATTTTATATTTTTTAAGGAAAGAAAGATGAGGCACAATTCTAAAAAGTTTTCCTGAAAACCTAAAATGAAATGAAACTAATCTTCTTTGACTAGACAAAGCTTTAGGAGAACAAGTTGGTTCCTAGACAGATAATCTTATGGACATCTATATTCTCTTGTTTTAGACAATGACAGTTTGTCAGGTAAAATTGTCTAATGGTTTACTGGTCCATGGGCCACAGTGCCACTCTGAAAGTGAAGCCAAGGAGAGAGCTGCACTTTTTGCTTTACAACAACTGGTAAGAATCATTCTTGGGTTTCCTACTAAGTCTTTAAGATTAATTTATTTGTGTGCATGTGTGTGTCTCCATGTGTGTGGGAGAGCACTCGGGGAGACCAGAAGGGTGAGGTGAGTCAGATCCCTTGCATCTGGAGTTACAGTGCTTGTAAACTACATGAATGCTGGGAATCAAACTTCTATCCTCAGGGAGAGCAGCAAGTGTTCTTAACCACTAAGCTATCTCTCCAGCCTGTTAGTTTTTGTATTTTCCTTTTTAAAAATTGATTGTTTGTGGGTTTCATATCATGCATCCTGATCGCATTCATCTCTCCATCCTTTCATATCCACCCTCTGCTCTTGCCACCTCCCCCCCTCAAAATAAAATAAAATTTAAAAAAAAAAATTACCCTAACATAAGAAGTAATTTTTTAAACAGTCTCAGCATGAAAGCTGTAGTGTGACATAGTAAGTCACACGATATACCCTTTAGTCCATACATCTTTACTTGTAAGCATTCATTGCAATGAGTCATTGGTGTGGTTTGAGGCCTCTGGTTTCTGCTACAACCTTGATATGGGGCCGTCACTGGGACTCCTCTTGAATATCCTGTTGCTACCTTGTGTCATGGAGATCCTGCAGCTTTGGATTTATAGGTCCAGCCCTACACATGCTCCAACAGTTCACAGATGAGTGGATGCTGGGGTGGGCCAACTCATAGCCCTGCATCTGTATGGTGGCAGCTGGGTTGGTCACCTTGCCAACTTTGCCTCATTGACACGACCAGAGTGAGCTCTCCAGCATTGCCCCAGGTAGCTAACTCAGTGCAGCAGGCAGCAAGGAACAGGCCAGTTCTCCTGCTCTCACACCTCCAGGGCCAGCTCTACTGTCTTGTTCAGGGGAGGTGCAGGGCCCGCTCTCCTGCTCTTGTGTTCCCAAGGTCAATTCTCCCACCTGCCAAAGGTGGCAAGGGATGGGGGGGCATCTTTCCCTCACCCGTGCCACCATATGGCAGATAAGCAGGGGCAGGGGCAGTTCTCCTACTCTCATGCCCTCTGGGTGTGCTTACCTGAACTCCTGCTAACACGGTTAGCTCTACTGTGATGCCCAGGTGAGGTACAGGGCCTGTTCTCCCACTCTCTTATGACCCCAGGACCAGCTCTCTCAGCCACCAAAGCCATCTGTTAGGTTTTTAGTCTCTACAGAAATTTTTTTTTGTTTTGTCTTATAATTTTTAAATACTTCCACAGGGCTCCTTTGGTGTGAATTATCCTTTGCCTCCACCAATATTTCCAAATTATCCTCCTTCTGTACCATCCGGAACCATTCCTCCCATTTTTCCTCAACCTACTGGTAAGATATTTTGATTTTCTAAGTATTATTCTTGAGTTATTATTTTCTCTAAATTCTTTAAAGAACCACATTTTTTGTTGGGGTTGGGGGGGTTGTTTTGTTTTTAATTACATTTAGTATGTGTACACATACATCAATGTGTACCGTTTTGGGGGGTGTTGGGGTTTGATTTCTTTTTAAGACAGTGTTTCATATATCCTAGATCAGCTTTGAATTTCTAATTTTCCTCCTTCCTCCTGGGTGGTGGGTACTGGGATTATGGTGTACCCACCACCTGAGTTCAAAACTAGCACTAAAAATCAAAACAACTTATAACTTGTGGTCACCTTTTCTTCCTGCCCAAAGTCTATTAAATTAAATAATAAGGAATTTTGAAAACAAAACCTCTGGGAATAAATTGAAAGAAGAAATATCAGCAGACTAGAAATTTGGGAACAGTTTGCAGTGAGCAAAACATTGAAGTAGTCAGTTTAAAGAGCAGGGTTAAATTGTAAACCACAGTCCCTGCAGTGAAGGTTACAGAGCTCCTCATTCTTCTCACTGACCAAACTTGCCTGGCATATGTGAAGCCCTGTGCTTAATCTCTTAACTCTGCAGAGCTAGCAAAATAAAATCAAGATCGTATGGAAAAAGGATAATTGAAAAAATTATTTGTGGTTGTATGTTACTTCCTGTTGCTGTGATAAAGCATCCTAACCGAAAAGCAGCCTCTAGTAGAAAGGCTTATTTTGGTTTACTGTTCCAGAGGAGAGTCCCCAATGGGAGGGAATGGTGACAAGTGGCTGCAGCCAGAAACTAAAATATCATCTTTTCAACTCCAGGCATGAAATGAAGAAAACAAACTGGGCATGGAGCAAGGCTATATACTCTGAAAGCCTGCCCCCAGTAGCATGCTTTCTCCAGCAAGACAGCACCTCCTAAAGGCTCCATAAGTCCCCAAATAGCACCAGCAACTAGAGAACAGGGGTTCAAGCATCTGAGCCTATGAGACACATTTCTCCTTTTAAACTACCACATTCTGCTCTGGCCTCTGTAGGCTCATGTCCATCTCATAATACAAAATGCATTTAGTCCAACCCTAAAAGGCTCAGTAAGTCTTTATCAGCCCAAGTCTCTTTTGAGACCCAATGCAGTCTCTTAACTGTGACCCCCTTGTAAATTCAAAAGGCAAATTACATACTCCCAACACATAGTGCCAAGGAATATACATCCCTAGTCCAAGAGGGAGAAATGAGGGCATAGTAACAAGTGAACCAGAACAAGGTCTAAGGTCAGCAGGGCAAACATAAAATCCTGTAGCTCTATGTCCAATGTCTGGGACTTTAATTTTATAAGACTTAGATGGCTCCAGGTTTGCTGCCAGCAACATTCATCTTTCCCTCCCTCCCTCCCCCCTTCCTCCCTTTCTCTTCCTCCCTCACCGCCCCCTCTCAGAGTGATTCTACTCCCTATATGCAGCTCTCTTTGGCAGATATCTCATGACTGTGATCTTCAACATCGTGGGGTCTCCACCACAACCCAGACTTCATTTTCATAACTATATATAATGGCCTCTCACAATCTCCTTACAAGGATTCCTCTGTCAAATATTGTCTGGCCTCGGGGGCTCTCTGAAATCATGAAGATAGAATCTATGACCCCCCTTTCTCTCACTCTTACATCTTTCATGCCTCCAAAGATGGTATACTGACAAGTTTGACTGCCATCTAGGATTGGATCCTTCAACCACTTTAGTGGCAGCTTTCCTGGGCTGCAACAGTTGCTTTCTAGAAACAAGCTGCCCTGGAGGCTTAGCTAGTTAGGATCTTCCCTGGTGGCATGTTTCCCATTGTTCCAGTGAAGAACAGGAGGTCTCTCCTTAAGTGGCACTAATCTTAATAATGACAGCCTCTTTTAGCACATGCCTTGACTGTGCAATAATCTTCCTAATGTACCTAAAATACCATAACCAAATGCAACTTATAAAAGGAATAGTTTATTTTAGCAACCCCTGACTCTAAGGGGGAAATCCTCTTTTTGTTACAGACCTGTATATACATAATCAATATGAACCATGCCATAGACTCAGTGTTATGCTGTCTTGAAAGTTCTTCTGCCAAAGAAATTAGCCTTTTTAGTTCAGCCTCATGTAAATTCTCAGGACTTGGGCAGAAAACAGCAAGACTGTTTATAAAAATACCACACTGTCTACTCCAGTAGTTAATACAGCCCTTGTTCCCTTCTGAAACATCATAAGCTAGGCTTCTATCTTCTGCATTACTCTCATCCCTGCTGTCTTCTAGAATGGCCCATGAAGTTCTGGTTACAGCATTCAGCTACTTTTCTAGTCCAAACTTGCAAAGTCTTCCACATTCCTCCAAAGTACAACATGGTCAGGTTCACCACAGCAACAACCGACTCCTGGTACCAACTTCTGTATCAGTTGCTGCGATAAAATACCAGATGGGGAATGGGGAATCCATAATAGAAACAGAGACGTGGTAATGGATGACTGAAGCTGAAAGCTGAGAGATCACATATTCAAACATCAGAGAGAGAGCAGGGGTGAGGCTATAACTCTCAAGGCCAGTTCCCAAGGACTTACTTCCTCATCAAGGCTCTAGAGTATCAATGCACAGATCTGCAACCCATGTTATAGGCACTCCAGAGAAAGAGACAAATAGGAAGGAAGGTAGGTTAAAATTTTCTTAGAACTAAAGGACATGCATCTCTAGATTGAAAGGAACAGCATTGTAATAAAAAGAAACAGGTTGCCTTGAAATTCAAAATACCAGGGCTGGAGAATGGCTCAGTATGTAATTGTGTTGCTGCAAAACCTGAAGATCTGAGTTAAATCCCTGTGTCTCTTATGGTGGAAGGAAAAGACTGATTCCCATGAATTGTCCTCTGATCTGAGCACAAAGATTCCTGAGACATCAAGAATCTGGCTTGCTGGATTTCAGTCACTCTACGTAGGGGTCTGCATTTCACAAGCTCTCCAAGTGGCTCAGAAAGACAAACAGTTTTAGGAATCACCAATTGAGTGTGTTTCCAATAGGCAACAAAAAAGTCCTATACCATGAAAGTGATCATGTTTCAGGACTTGAGCTTCGGGCTTTTAGTATGCTGAGCTCACTGTGGATACAACTTAGCATTTGGGTCAGGTGAGAGCCTTATAGTTTCTGTCTTTGTTCCCAGGCCTTCCTCAAGGAGTAGCTACATGATCATTAAACAGGATTTTGGGAATAAGGAAGGGCCAGAGTTCTTCGCAATCCACACCATTTTATACCAGCAAGCCAGGGTCTTCTGAAGCCACGGGAAAGTCCAGCTTCTTCAAAGTCCCACAATTACAACTGTTCCTAAAGTTCATGTCAGCATTTGGTACTGTTGGCCTCACAATAACTGCATTTCTGTAGATAGTGTTATGACCCTAAGAAAGGTCCCCAGGGGTGAGTGATGTGATAGACAAGAACAGTAACAATTACCAAATGAGGTGGAGGAGCTTAAAAAAAAAAAAAGGCTAGCAGAGAGAAGTCTTAATCTCTGGATCTTGCTTTTTAACAGCTAATATAATACCTTCACCATCTCATATCTATGGCTCAGTGCCATGGAGACCACCAGTGCCAGTTGCTGGGAAGGCCTTCCATCATCCTGCATATCCTGGAACCATGCCCTTGGCTGGAGGAATGCCAAGCGGGGTGCACAATCAGTTCATACCTCTGCAGGTGAGAGCTGGAAAGAAAATTGTAGTTTGGTTTTTCAAGACAGGTTTTCTCTGTGTATCTTTGAAGGTTGTCCTGGAACTCACTCTGTAGACTAGGCTGGCCTCAAACTCACAGAGATCCACCTGCCTCTGCCTCCTAGTGCTGGGATTAAAGGAATGAGCCACCAACGCCCGACAGAAAATTGTAGTTTTTAACAGTTACTTTTTTTTTTAATATTCAGAACAAAATGTGATAAAAATTTATGTAGTAGTACCTCCCAGTACTAACTGGAAATCCTTTGTTTGAACTTAACAGTAGTGATACATTTCAGCTGATCTCTGATCTGAGTTTGTATTCTAATAAGTAATATTAATTGTAGCAAGTAGTATTAATATTTTTAAGGATTTATTCTGTTCAGTTATGTGCATGTTGTACACAGGGCGGTCAGAGGTTTGGATCCCCTGACACAGAGTCACAGGCCAGCAGATATGGACACTGAGAACCAAGCTCATGAGGGAGGGCATGTTGTACACGGGGAGGTCAGAGGTTTGGATACCCTGATACAGAGTCACAGGCCGGCAATATGGACACTGAGAACCAAGCTCAGATCCCTCCCTTGCAAGAGGAGTACATTCATCCACGAGCCATCACTCCAGCCCCTATTATAATTATTTTGCTGCTATTAATAAGTAGAAGTCAAAAATCAGCAGTGACTGGCAAATACTAGCAGCCTGATTTATGGTGTTTTCTGAAACAAGCTTTTTTTTTCTTCTACCTACATTGTTATCAATGATGTTTTTATTCCCTAAAGGTTACGAAAAAAAGGGTTGCAAGCAGAAAGAATTTTGAGACTAAGGAGGCCCAGAGTTCTCAAGCCACACCACTTCAGACTAGCAAGCCAGGGTCTTCTGAAGTCAAAATAATTCCACAAGAAAGCCCATCAGTCTCTTTGAAGTCCTCCCCAGCTGCTCAACCTGTGTCTTCTCAAGTCGACACTGCCTCCCAAGGCCATGGAGTGACCCACCAGAAACCAGCATCGAGCTCCTCGAGAAGGAAATCAAGGAAACTGGCTGTTAATTTTAGCATTCCTAAACCTTCTGAATAAATTTGATACCTGGGAATTAATTTCTTTTATTTCCATCTACCTTTTTTATAAATTGATATCTATGTGTCAGAAATGTACTATTTTAGAATATGTTTAGATTGAATATTTTTTATTTTTAAGTTATCAGGCACTTTTCATGCTATTTAAGACTATATATCAAATTGTGCACTTTAAGTATGTGCAATTTGTTGTACATCAGTGATACCTCAATAAAGCTGTAAAAAAATCAAATTAAATCTTGTATTAAAATAAGTATCATACTGGGCATAGTAGTTCATGCCTATAACCCTCATGCTTGAGAGGCTGAGACAGGAGGATTGCCATATATTCAAGGTTAGCTAGGGCTACATAGTGAGTTCCTGGCCAGCCTGAGACATTGCTTCAAAAACCAAAAAAATAAAGTAAATTATTAGTGGGCTAAATGTTAAAATGTACCACTAACCATTGGCTTCCTCATTAGAAGCATCCTTGAATTATAAATTAGTCATTATGTTATCATAATAATAAGCTTTTTTTACACTATTATTGAGGGATAATTAAATGCAGCATGAATTAGGCCTCATAATTTCCTAAATGTGGGTTTTATTTCTCTTTAATGATGTAGCAACATGGCTTGGAGAGTGGCCCTTACTCTGTCTTCACATCAGTCTGTTGCCAGAGTCAGTCCCAGGATGCTGTGGAGCTAGCGCACTGGCCGTGGCCATGGCGCCAGCGCACTGGCTGGTGCTGCCAGCGTTGCTGTGTTCTGAACCTTGTTCCAAAGCAGTTTTAGAAGACCCTCCAAATCATTTGTCTGACTGCTTTGAACTAGAAATAGCAATCTAGATTTGAGAAATGACGATTTTTTTTCTTTAGATTATTCAAGAGCCAGCATTAAGAATTTCTAATAAAATTAAGTTTCAAAATCTACAGGGTACTGTGATTACAAATCAGTCTTCAAATAGAATTCAGTACAAAATGCTAATCACTTTATTCTTGCTTAGGCTTCTTGGGTTTTGTTTGTTTTGAGACGGGGGTCTTGCTGTGTAGTCCTGGCTGGCCTAGTGCTCATGGCAACCCTCCAGTTCTGGGATCCCCGCCATGCATCACCACACCCGCCTGTGTGACGCCTTCTCTGCTTACTTCACATATGTGTGGAGTCCATGTGTAGCGCTTCCTGGGACTGAGACCATTTTAAACGCTTTTTTAAAACTTTTTTAAAAATTCCAGTATGTTTGTGTGTACATTATTTCCTGCCTGTCCCGTTCTTGTTGTGCATTTTAGCACTCGCTGAACTATTCCGTGATGTACATTTGTCTCTGCATGTCACTCGTGGATGTCTGTGTTCACACTGTTGAAATGATTTGGATTTTACGAAAACTTCTCAATGACATCAGGGCCTGCATTTATATATGAACATATATTTATCTTTTAGTTTTGTGATATGTTTATATTTTTAAGGAGTAAAATGATCATACTTTTTAAAAAGTAAAAACCAGTCTTTATATGGAGCTGCTTACTGTTGTTGTATGTGATTTCCTTAGCTCATTGAAAATGCTGCCATAAGTCTTAAAATCGTTTTACTGTTTTTTTTAAAATGCTTGTATAAAACTCAATTCCTTTCTCTGCTGACTTCAGTGTTTCTCTAAATGATGGCAGGATATATGTATGCTAGTAGTGCCTTTAGTATAAGAGGTATTTGGTCATTGTCTTCATTTTCTATGGTCATGTGACTTCCTAGAACTTTGTTTTCTGTTAATAGAAAGTTCAGCTGTTTGTCAGTGCCCAGCACTTCCTCACATGCAGTGAGGCACAGGGGTAAGGCTCAGGTCATTCTCAGTGTTTGTCCTCAGGGCTTCACAAGTTCCATTTTCAAGGGAAACCTCCATTGGAAACTCAAGGGGATGTCCAGTTATGACACTGTTACAGTTACTCCTTCCCAGAACCTCACCATTCATTTCCTCCTGTGTGGTGATCCCACCATGGTGTATGACCATGTTCCCTGTAGAACACAGAGGAAAGATTCCTTTTGCAAAACCCCCTGAGAGATTTTAGTAAACACAGTGTCATTGAACCTGTGAAGGTATTTCTCTAAAAGTTTGAGTACAAGCTAGTAATTCTATATGGAGAGCCGGTAAGATTATTTGAACTTCCTTTTGAAAAAAAAAGTCTAAGAGTCAAGCTTGTAGAGAAAATAAAATAGGAGAGGACTGGATGTTGGCAGATAGGGAGTGATGAGTCTCCCCCCTTAGCCCTATTCTCAGTGCAGGTCGGATATCTAGGAAACGTGCAACCTCTGGAAGATTTGAGACATGGCTGTCTTAACAGCTAGATAGCTATAAGGACACAGGATCTGTTGGCATGTCTGGAGGGATCTAGCACATCTTTGAAGGAGCCATACAGCTCTCCCCTCTGGGATGGAGCAGTTTGAGACTCTCAAGCTTCTAAAACAAGCTTTGGTGGAAATGGTGAACTTTGGTCACAAAAGGAAAGACTCCCCCAGACTATCTGTGTTTTCATATAACTAGAAAAGTTATTTGATTAAGCCTTCCTCTCCTCACTGGAAACTATTGCAAATGTCCTGGCTCAACAAGCCTTTCCTTTTTACGCAAATGTAGTTAATTTGAAGATGGATCCTTTCCGCCATTGTTTCTCCTCACAATTCTGTGCTTTACCTGGTTACTACCTTCGTTTTCAAATTTGGCAGATAAAATGCATTCATTGACTTAAACACTTTGTAGACTAAACGCGTAAACATCTAAACCTCAGTTGTGTCAAAAAATTATTTCCACTGAATCTCAGTTTCAATTTAAGATTTTCCTCTTCTGGGAATGGTACTGCCCATCTCTAATGCCAGCACTCTGGCAGCTATGGCAGAGGACTGGGAATTCAAGGCAAGCCTAGGCTATGGAAATGCTGCCTAGAAAAAAGATTCGCCTTCATTTTCAAAGCAGTAAGTAAAGGTGACAGGCTATTCCCCTCCTTTCCCTATGAGCACAATGAAGAGTATTGATGTCAATTTTCCTGGTACTATTTCCATGCCTTTGTGTTTGGAAAGTTCTAGAGTCTTGGTTCATGGGAGAGGAGGCAAGAAGAGGGAGCCTGGATAAGATCCAATAGTATTTGTAGACTTCAATGTACTTTTTTATCTTAAGGAAATAAGCTATAGGGTCATTTTATTTGCTCCCCCTTTGTGTGGCTATTCTATTTGTATCAGCAAATATTTTTTTCGTAGTAGTTATTTAGTTTCCACCTTACATGGCATGACTCCTGGCTCTCCACTGAAGGAAGCTCTCACACACTTCTCTGCTATGTTACTTTGTGCCATCTTGCTTCTAGGCTTTTCTTTTACTGTAGAAGAGAATCTGTTGGAAACTACTGTGAGAGGTATTCTGTATCTTAAAAAAAAAAAAAAAAAAAAAAAAAGACTGTCACCAAAATTATTATTTTTTAAGAGGTAGTGCCAGGAATCAAACTGCAGCTTTCTGTGTGCATTTATGTTTGTTTCTTCAACGAAGTAGTCTCTTTTGCAGGCACTCCCTTTGCTAGCAAAAAATAAAGCTTAAGTTTTGGATGTTTTTTAGACTGAAAATTTGTATTCCCATTAGACATCCTAGTTTTCTGCCAGGTACAGTGAGTCAGCTATGGAGGGATAGCAGCTTTCAGGTAACCGGGAAGAGCAGACAAGCAGGCCTGAGTTTTACATCACATGCTGAGTTAGATGGTACTGGTCCTTCTTCTTGAAAGAGAGGGCAGGAGGAAAAGAGTTCAAGTGTCAAGAATGTTGAGAATCCGTGTGTCCGTGGGCAAAATCTCCCTGCTTTTCAGTGATGGGTCTCAGGTGCAGCTGCTTTCTAATAGACTGCACTCTGACATAGTGAAACCTGTAAAGTTAATTTTTCTGCCATGTGGCCCATTACTGCCGATTTTTGCAGCAGGTGATGCTCCGTGTAGCTGCTTAGGGATTAGAAACCAAGCTCTCTGTTTCAAAATGATAGGAGTGAGAATCTGCTTCATGGCTTGCTTTAAGTGCTCCCTCTGGTTCAGTCGCTCCTCCTCCCTCCACTCCATTCCTGTACCCTCCTCCCTTTTGCTACATAGCTCTTTCAGTCCTCCTCTCTCCACCTCCTAAATTCTGAAGTTACAAAGTATGGCTCCATGACCAGTGTGCTTTACGCTCTATTAATCCTGCCTTTCCTTTACAGTACACACATATATGTGTATTTGTTTTGTGTTTCAACACAGGAATTCTCTGTATAGCCATGGCTATCCTGGAACTCACTCTGTAGATCAGGTTGGCCTCAAACTCAGAGAGATCCTCCTGCCTCTGCCTCCTGAGTGCTGGGATTAAAGGTGTGCACCATCAACACACGGCTGGATTTTATTTTTTAACTTGGGGTTGGGGGGAATTCAAGTATCTTATATTTCTTTTTTTCTAAACAAATTACTTTGACTATTTTCATTTTGCATTTGAGCAATCGGAATGCTGTGTATCAAAGTGTTTCCTCATTTAAACAGTGTGATCTCATACACATCTATCTCCCTTGATTTCTTTCCTTATGTAACTATTTTGTAAGTAACTGGAGTTTTTCATTAGATCTTAGGCAAAGCAGTATTTTATTAAAAATTACAAAGGGAAGACTTCTTTGTGCTCATTTTGTAATTTTTATTTTAACTATCATTACATTGTATGTCAATTATATTTGAAGTATTTTAAGCTTCCATGGAATGGACTCCAAATGTATTTTTATGTTGTACATTTGTAAATTCATAGCACGGAGTTAGCCTCAAAGTGTTGTGCAAAGGGATTTCTACATACAAAAGTCACTGGCGGTCTGAACATGTGTGTGCGCTCAATGCGCTGTGGTTTGGATTAAAGACTGAATGATGGCAAATGTGCTTGTCGTTTACTATTCTGTGCATTCATAAAAGGCTAGCAATGGAGCTTCTATCTCAACCCCGATGTATGTAAAGGGGTTGGAGTATTTCTTGTTTTGAGTTGGTCTCATTTCCCATGCTGTTTTCAAAACATGAGATTCTCCTGTGTGTTAGTGTTGCAGGACAGTGCCACCATGCCCCGCCTGGATGTCCTTTCGTTCTCAATCTAGTGCTCCATTATTGTCAACTGAGTCACTGTGGCTGATGGAGATCTGAATTACAGAATCGGATGGTATGACTCACATGACGGCTCAACATCTTATTATTTGTAAGTACATCAAGTGAAGTGAAGTTTTTGTTTCAGACTCTGCACCCCCTGAAGAAAGGAGAGAGACACCCTTCCCCAGGGTCTACCTGGGTAATTGATGGAGCAACGAAAGATCCAAAAAGCCTGAAAAAGTCTCACATTCTCTCATCTGAGGCTCCCAGCTCCCAATCTTCAGATGTGAGTACACAACCTGGAGTAACTGCAGAAACCAGGGGAGTAAAAAGGAACCATGGGGGGGAGGGGGCGGGGCAGCGATAGATAGCGAGGGGAGTAGCAGGATGAGAGCGAACTTGAAGGGGACATGGGAACAGTGGGGGACCCCATTAGAAAGGTAGGGCATCTCTATTAACTACCTAAAAATGCCTATAATACACATTAAGTCTGCATATGTGCTTGTGTATTTTTTTAAAGATTTTATTTATTTATTTATTATGTATACAACATTCTGCTTCCATGTATATCTGCACACCAGAAGAAGGCACCAGATCTCATAACGGATGGTTGTGAGCCACCATGTGGTTGCTGGGAATTGAACTCAGGACCTCTGGAAGAGCAGTCAGTGCTCTTAACCTCTGAGCCATCTTTCCAGCCCCGCTTGTGTATTTTTTTAATAAAATTCTCTCATCTGTGCTGACAGTGTTCCCTCCAAGAGCTAGAGATCATCTAGCAAACCCCCAACACCAGGCACGAGAAACCCTCTTGAGTTGTTTGTCAGAGCTGTCCAAGAGACTCTCCAAACATTGGATGTTGATGCTGTTGTCCTTGGTTTTCCCCAGAGGTGGAATGTAAGTCCCTATTGCTGGAAGTATCATACACATGACACACTGTGGCAGAGGCCCCTCAACCTGATCTGATCTGAAAAGATTCCATGCAAGCTTCCAAAGGAAGGAAGCCACCAACAGTACTACCAAGCTATAATACCTATAAATCACAACATCAAACATGGCACAATGACCCTAAGGGTGCAAAAGGGGCTTGAATACCTTGTTTTCCTAAATGGACTTATGACATGTTCAATAAGAGGGAAATCATTGCTAGTAGTGGAAACCTAGCCAAAAATCCAGAGCTAGTGAAATCACAAATCTTGGAGGAGAACCTACAACCACTACTTTACCAAGCTAGTGTAATCCCTAGCTACATCTTAAATATCTGCCTATATACAGGTAAGTATAGCCTTCACCCCTCATTAATGAAATTACACTTCACAACAGATGGAGACCATTACAAAAAACTACAACCAGTCAAAATGCAGAGTTATGTGGTCCAATCCCAACTGATAATACAACACAACTCCTGCACCTAAAGGTCAGAGTAGTGCCGTGATCCAGTTTTCATAGTGGCTTACACCGATGTAGCCAGAGGGGAGTGGGCTCCATACAGTTTTCATAGTCATCTCTCTCCCCATTATTAATGTACACATGGATGTTCTTTTTGTGTTGTACACAATGCTTGTAAAATATTCAACTTTTCTCTTCCAATAGAGATACCTCTATGCTCCCGGGTTGCAATTCTCCATGCTCAATACCACGTGCTGTCTTCTCTTCTCTCTGGGGTCCAGATTCTGTGATCAGGACCAACATCCCTTCAACCTTAGCTTTCACTTTGTCTTTCTTGGATGATGGAAGCTTCTGTCTATGCCCTATAAAGAAACTTTTTTTTTAATCAAAAAATCACCTTTTGGTTTCGCTGATTTTTATGTTTTCCACTTGACTTATTTCTTTGTTCTTACTTTCTGCTAGCTTTAAGCTTAATTTTCTTTTCCTTTGGTAGTTCCCTCAGGTAGGAGCTGCATAGTATTGGGATACAAACAGATATGTTGACTAATGGAATCCAACTGAAGAACCAGACATAAATCTGCACACATGTGGACACAAAAAGCCAGAAAGACACAATGGAAAGAAGAAAGCATCACCAACAAATGGTGCTGGTCTGACTGGATGTCAGCATGTAGAAGAATACAAATAAATCCATACTTGTCACCCTGCACAAAACTCAAAAGTTCAAGTGGATCAAAGACCTCAACATAAATCCAGATACACTGTACCTGATAGAAGAGAAAGCAGGCAATAGCTTTGAACGCATTAGCACAGAGATGACTTTCTGAACCAAATACCAGTAGTGCAGACACTAAAATCAATAATCAATAAATGGGACCTCATGAAACTGAAAAGTTTCTTGAAGGCAAAGAACACCATCATTAGGACAAAATGGCAGCCTACAAAATGGAAAAAATAGATATTTACCAACTCCACATCCAATAGAGGACTGATATCCAAAATATATAAAGAATGAAAGATGCTAGATATCAAAAAATAAAATAATCTAATTTAAAAATTGGGTACAGAAGCTGGGTAGTGGTAGCCTTTAATCCTAGAACTTGGGAAGCAGAGATAGGTGGATCTCAGTGAGTCTGAAGCCAGCCTAATCAAGTTCCAGGACAGCCACGGCTACACAGAGAAAACCCTGTCTATATAGATCTAAACAGAGAATTCACAACAGAGGAATCTCAAATGGCTAAAAATCAAAGAAATGTTCAACAAATTAAATACAAATTAAAACTTAACACCTGTCAGAATGACTAAGATCAATAGCACGAGTGACAGCTCATGCTGTGAGGATGTGGAGCAAGAGGAACACTCCTCCACTGCTGGTGGGAGTGCAGACTTGTACAGCCACAATGGAAATCAATATGGTGGTTCTTCAGAAAATTGGGAATGATCTACCATCAAGACCCAGCTATAGACCTGAACAAGGGGGAGCTCATGGACCCCAGACTGATAGCTGGGAAACCAGCATAGGACTGTTCCAGACCCCCTGAACATGAAGGTCAGTTTGGAGGTCTGGACAATCTATGGCGCCACTGGTAGTGGATCAGTATTTTCCCCTAGTACACAAATGGACTTTGGGAGCCCTCTCCTCATAGAGGGATAATCTCTCAGCCTAGACACATGGGGGAGGGACGAGACCCTACTCCAAATGATATGACAGACTTTGAAGATCCCCCATGGAAGTCCTCCCCTCCCTGGGGAGCAGAAAGGGGTTGGGGCAGGGGGTCAGTGGGGGTAGGGGAGGAGGGGAGGGAGAGGGAACTAAGATTGACATGTAAAAGAAGCTTGATTCTAATTTAAATAAATAAAAAAAGACTCAGCTATACCACTCTTGGGCATATACCTAATGGATACTCTATCCTACCACAGGACACTTGTTCAACCATGTTTATTGTGGCTTTATTCATAATAGCCAGAAATTGGAAACAACCTAGATGTCTCTTAATAGAAGAATAGATAAACAAAATGTGGTACATTTACACAATGGAGTATTACTCAGCTGTTAAAAAAATGATGTGAGCAGAGTTAAATTGATTGCTCAGTGGTTAAGAACACTGGCTGCTTTTCCAGAGGACCCAGGTTCAATTCCCAGCACCCACATGGCAGCTCACACCTGTCTATAACTCCAGTTCCAGGGGATCTGACACCCTCGCACAGACATACATGCAGGTAAAACACCAATCACTGCTAATAAAATAAAAATATTTTTTAAAAGGACATGAAATTTGAAGACAGATGAATGGAACTAGAAATGCCCAGCCTGAGTGAACTAACCCAGACCCATAAAGACAAATATGGTATGTATTCACTTATAAGTGGGTATTAGCCATTAAGTAAATGATAACCAATCTACACTCTGTAGACTCAGAGAGGTTAGGTAAAGGGGAGGGTTTAGGGGGAGTGTATGATTTTCCCTGGGAAGGGGAAGTAGAATAGATTTTATGAATAAACTGGGGGCAGGTGGGGACAGGAGCAGGGCAGGGTTAAGGTGGGGGCAGGGGAGATGGGATGGAGGGAGAAAGTGTGGGGAGAGACAGCTGGAATTAGGGGACATTTGGGGGATAGTGTGGAAACCGAGTGCAGTGGGAACTTACTGGAATCTGAAGGTGATCCTAATGAAGGCTGCTAGTAATGGGGATACAGAGTCTAACCTGGCCATCTCTGTAGCCAGGCAAGGCTACCAGTGGAAGGTCTGGATTGCATTCATTTGAGTTGTTGGCCAAAGGGGTCCCATGGAAATCCCCAAACAATCCAGGCTGATGCTAAGACAAAAGGTTGCTCTCCACAAACTGATAGTGGGGCCTCATTGCTGAGGACAACACCCACACAACTCACTGAACTTGGAGAAGTACAGCCTGGGCCTACATGGGGCCTTCACCCCTATGAACAGGAAGATTTTCTGCAGGCTACCAAAAGAGGAACATGGATACTAACCCAGCCACAATACCTTCAATCTACAATCTGTCCTGCCTGAAAAATATGCTAGGGCAAGGTGGCATAGTAGTTGTGGGAGTAGCCAACCAATTCTGATTTGACTGAAGGCCTACTCCATGAGAAGGAACCCATACCTGACACTGCTAGGGTAACCAAGAACCAGAGATTTCGATAGCCCAGAGACTTGGGGAAAAACCAAACACAACCAGTCTTTAAAAAAAAAAACAATAACATGATTCCTAATGATATTCTGCTATACTCAAGGATCAGTACCTTCTCCAGGCACATCAGTGAGGCTTCCTCTGGCAACAGATGGGAACAGATGCAGAGACCCTCCACCAGACATTATGGAGAGAGAGATTCTAAATGGGATGTCTCCATCAAATCCCTCCTCAGAGCTTAGAGAACCCTCCAGAAGAGGAGGAGG